CACTCATAGGTGTCTTAAGTTTGTACTACGAGTAAAGTACTAGGTGCTACTCCAATGCTGCTCCTCCTATTTTTTGTATTTGTTCTGCAAGGTGTATGTCGACAAAGTCAACACTTTATTTTGAAAATGATTCCTAGTTGCTTAAAGATTTCACAAGTTGTAATTGTTAAGTGTTTGAAGAATTTCCATCGCATCTTGTGTCGACCCACACGCAAACAAAAGGAAAATTTCCTTCATAATTTCCTGATCCGTAATACTTTTCGTGCTTACTCCGTTCTCCATGCCCAGAAATGGTATGACCCTGTAAAATTCCTGTAACATTATCTCACACTGAGAATGTCAAATTTCCCTTACATTTTGTCATCTGGAATATGTAGATAATATTTGTCATTTTCTATGTACCCGGAATCGCTGCATGCAAGTCAAGTGCGTCACAATTCTGGTTCTTAGAACACAAATTGCATTTAATGATTCTGCAAAGTTAGTGACTTTCTTGGGAAACTGTGATGGTCACGTTCCTCGATGACCTCACCTGTCTCACCTCGCCCTTGTTCCTGTACCTACATAGTCTACGCCCCTTCGTTTGTCCTCGCTAGTCGAAGCAATGCACCTCTTGTCTCCTCCATCCACGTCCAAGGCAGCCGAGTCTTGACTGTGACAGAAACGCGAAATAGAGCACAGCCACCATTGACATTTTTGGACACCTTGTTCTCATGCTGCAAAACCATCAAGGACCGTCAACATCCTTTCTCCTATGCACCACGGTTCCTCATGTGCAGTTGAAAAAAATACGTAGGTAGTAAGTAGAGTGAATTATGTTAGTGGAAATGACATCTGGTTAGCTCAAACATCACAAACCTATGGTGGTCCGTGCTGGACAAAAATACAATGTAAATGAATTTCAGTGACAATTGTGGCAGAACGCGGAAGAAAGTCAGGGAATGGTCACGATAGCCAAGGAACAGTCATGATCGTCAAAGAATGTTGATGTTCTTTGACGATCGGCACAGAAAGTTACCTTTTTTGGCAGGATGTTAACAATAATCAAAGAATGACACCCTGCAGAATGTCACCGTTCATCACCGATCCATTGACAGAGCCAAAACAAATGTGAATTTGTCTTGACATGGCCTGGCCTATTCTTCCAGTTTCTTCAAGAATCTCTGAGACCCCAAACTACCTCCATGATGCCACACCATGTGTGGGTTTCATATGCCAGGCCTACGCCGGCTGCTCTGCTTGCATGCTGACTAACAGTCGGGCCGTGGGGACCCACCAATCTTAGTCAGCGGGGAAGAAATACCTCGCTGACTAAGATTGGCAGGGTCCCACGGCGCGCTGACTAAGTCGTTGCTCCCGCCCTTCTCATCACTGTTGTGGACAGCAAGCTCGCTGTTCACACCATTTCCGGTCCATTTCCCTCCATTTTTTTTGCTAGTATCAATGTATGTAGTTATTAATGAAGTTATGTAACATATATACTGTTGTAAACCCCCATAAGCTGTATAAAATGCGAAAACAATAATATGAATAACAGTCCCTCATCCATACCCAGCCCTAGGCATATTCCCCAGCCCAGGAAGCATCTGGAGTATTTAATATAGACACATGTATGAGTGGGAAGGCCACCATCCAGGTTATGGGAGTGGCAGGATATACAGTATCATGGTGATTAATGTACCTCTCCTCCTACCCCTCTTCCACACACCAATAATGCAACTATTACTATGGTTAGTAGCTCAATTTAATGGTACTACAATAGCGCATTTTTAGGGCCCTCTATTCGAGCCATTTGTGGTTTGAAGGGAGAGGGTATGACCCATGACCCTCAACAGTAGATATTTTATTAAAGAACCATACATGCATTTATGGCCAATTTGACTTGGTAGATACTTAATAGTATTATGCTTTAGTATATATATGTATTTAAATATGGAGCGCCACACATGTGGGCAAAGATATGAGGAGGGGGAGGAGGAGCACATACCTCATCAGTCACCATGTCCTCCTGTCACGAATAGCGCATATTGCACACTCTAGGTAGACTCTACAGGTGTGTAATATGTATACCTTGATATTTTAGTAGTCACAGTTAGAGAATAGATGCTTGGGTGAGATGGTATTAAAGCAAGGAGGATATCTGCATAAAAAGCATGAAAATCATCCACTGTCACATAAATACATCAAGTAAAAATAATATATATACCTAGGCATATACTCATACATTCTAAGAGCCAGCTGAAAAAGAGTTTACGAAATTAGAGCAAGATTGAGGGTGAGATATGGCAAAGGAACTCCCAAAGAAGGGTAGATAGTTTACAGTCACATGTAGTGACCGAGTTTCTGCTCTTCAAAATTCACTGTCTCATCCATATCTCACCTCAATCTTGCTCTAATTTTGTAAACTCTTTTTCAGCTGGCTCTTAGAATGTATGAGTATATGCCTAGGTATATATATTATTTTTACTTGATGTATTTATGTGACAGTGGATGATTTTCATGCTTTTTATGCAGATATCCTCCTTGCTTTAATACCATCTCACCCAAGCATCTATTCTCTAACTGTGACTACTAAAATATCAAGGTATACATATTACACACCTGTAGAGTCTACCTAGAGTGTGCAATATGCACTATTCGTGACAGGAGGACATGGTGACTGATGAGGTATGTGCTCCTCCTCCCCCTCCTCATATCTTTGCCCACATGTGTGGCGCTCCATATTTAAATACATATATATACTAAAGCATAATACTATTAAGTATCTACCAAGTCAAATTGGCCATAAATGCATGTATGGTTCTTTAATAAAATATCTACTGTTGAGGGTCATGGGTCATACCCTCTCCCTTCAAACCACAAATGGCTCGAATAGAGGGCCCTAAAAATGCGCTATTGTAGTACCATTAAATTGAGCTACTAACCATAGTAATAGTTGCATTATTGGTGTGTGGAAGAGGGGTAGGAGGAGAGGTACATTAATCACCATGATACTGTATATCCTGCCACTCCCATAACCTGGATGGTGGCCTTCCCACTCATACATGTGTCTATATTAAATACTCCAGATGCTTCCTGGGCTGGGGAATATGCCTAGGGCTGGGTATGGATGAGGGACTGTTATTCATATTATTGTTTTCGCATTTTATACAGCTTATGGGGGTTTACAACAGTATATATGTTACATAACTTCATTAATAACTACATACATTGATACTAGCAAAAAAAAAATGGAGGGAAATGGACCGGAAATGGTGTGAACAGCGAGCTTGCTGTCCACAACAGTGATGAGAAGGGCGGGAGCAACGACTTAGTCAGCGCGCCGTGGGACCCTGCCAATCTTAGTCAGCGAGGTATTTCTTCCCCGCTGACTAAGATTGGTGGGTCCCCACGGCCCGACTGTTAGTCAGCATGCAAGCAGAGCAGCCGGCATAGGCCCGGCACATGAGTTGAGTGTGCCAAGCCCCTCGCAAAGTCCTGGGGTCCGACACATTCCTGAAGAAAAATATAAAGATTCTTGAAGATTCTGGCCGGATGTCAAAGAAAGAATGAGAGGCTCACAGTGAAAATGGTAACAGAAAGTTGAAGAAACCTACCGTATTGATCTGTGCCAAATGTTGAAGATTGGGATATTTCAGTGGAAATCTTTGACAAAAGTCAAAGAACGTCAACAAAAGTCAAAGAACGTCAACAAAAGTTGGAGATTGTTGACAAACATTGACGAAAGTTGACGATCGTCAATGAACGCCGACGATCTGGGACGTTCGGGTGACATATTCATTGCAGGGGGTGGTATTTACATGGTAAGCCCTATTTTTGTCCATGGTGGGCCGTTATACAAACCTCATATATCCTCATCAAATGGACATTGATCAATTTCGCCTCTCGCGCGCGTTGGTGCGCGGTTCAGAAAAATACTCAGTAGTCGACATTCGCGAGAATCATCTCAAAATGAGCTGTCCCGGGCAACGGCGTGTGACGATGGTAAGAACCCTCAATTCCTTCCTTTTTCAATTTCTTCTCTTTTTTTATACCCAGCACTTTCAAGTTGTTCGGTAAACCCTGGGCAGTGGGGTGATTGACTTGATATTCTACCGCCTCGACGCCAAAATCATCAGAAGCAGCGCGAGGAAGATAATTACGCTAGCTATGGTCACTCCTGCTGGTGATTTGTTGAAGAAACTATAGGAAACAATGGACGAAAGTCCGTCGACCCTGCTGGCAGACCGAAAGAGACGTCGGTAGTCAGTCGAATTGACTGCGGACGCTTTGAGGCTGCAGAAGAACGGAAGAAATACGGAAGTCTGTGGATCCGTGGATGCCTGGCTCATATACAACATCTGGTTTATCACGATGGAGCCATGATATCCTATGATTAGCCCGGCCGGGGTTCAGCAGTTGCACTTTTTCCGCAGAAGAGGGGTGGACGATCCACGAAGGGTGCGCCAGGCTGGCAATCTGAAGCATACGTTATTCAGCAGCTTGGTCGCAGGATACATTTCTGTCAGGGGTTCGACGAATCACGATGATGGTGGTCAGAACTTCGAAACGAGCAGGTCGTCAGTCACTGTAACTCATCTTCAAGGCATCTTGCCCAGAATGACGACCAGTACATGGTAAAGCGCTCATACCTTAGAACAGAAACGTTGCAATTTGGTGTGTGCGAGTTGCAAGTATAAGTACACAGGAGTTTTTCACAACTCCAAATCTCAATCGACTTGTATGATGAGGTCCGTCCATTATAGGTAAAACAGTAGAGCACCATGATGGTTAGCAGGAATAAAACTTATCGACAGGAGACGGGCAATAAGCCACAAGGATCGAGAAGATGCAAAAAGGCACGACTAATAAAGGTAGTTGGATATTGTAAGGGACAGCTCCTAAATGATTGTCATACTGTCAGAAGAAAATCATCCAGATGTTTGGAAAGTCTAAGGGGAGAGACGAGGCAATGCACAGCATAGTGGCGGAAGGATGAAAGACTCGGCCGGCTGTATCTTCATTTTCGTCGCTGCTGTTGCCAAACCGCTAAAGGCACATCCTCCTCTTCGCCATTCCCCGGTGACATGGGTTGCCGTCCTTCGCTCGTCAGCCGTGTATCGAATGAGGTCACAGCGTGGGCACTGTTGCCCTTGCGAAGATTGCCATTGGGCAGAGGTGGAGAAGCCGTGGCCGTAGCGGATAGTGATCGATGAGGACCGCGTTGGCCACTACGACTATCTCCCAAGCTCTCCTGCGAAGTGTTAAGCTTATGCAGCTGTGACATGGGTGGTTGTTTATGGGGAGGCAGGTTCTGATGACTGGGTGGCGAACGAGAACGACGAGGCCCAGGAGATGGATGTCGGTGTTGTGGCGACAGCGGTACAGGAGATGTTGGCTGCGAGCCCCAAGCTGACTGATCGACAGGCGGCATCGCACCTGGGGGTAGTCCTGGACGTGGTTGAGGAGCGTCGGCCTGTGGCTGATAGTAATACTGCTCTGATTGGGGCTTCAGCGGCGGTTGGCCCGCTTTCAAAGGTTCGTTATACGGTAAAGGTTGTGGCGGACGTTGGTATTGACGAGGAGGGCCGCCGTTGATGGGTGGGCCTGTTGTTGGGCTGCGGGGTGGTTGGCCAGCGTATCCTCCATATTCTTGCTCCATGACCCGATGCTGCATCTCGTACTGAGGTCCTTTGATAGGCATTTCCGCACGACGTCCACCACCTGGCTGGCCACCAACAGGCGTTTTGGTAAGCGAACCACGCCTTCCAGACTCTTTCTTCTTCTGCTCCATCTCGCGTTCACGTTGTTCCTTCTCCAACCTCTCGCGCTCCAGACGCTCCCTTTCTGCGATCTCTCGATGTTCCTTCTCTTTCTGCTCTCGCTCACGTTCCTCTTTCTCGGCTTCTTCCCGACCATCGCTCCCACCAGTCGCAATTGGAGCTCCATTGGGACTGGCTTGAGTATTGGGAGTAGGATTCTGGGCCTTGTTGATAACTCCCAAGTACCAGAACATGAGATTACTGATGAGCACTTGCTCGTACAATGGACGTCGCGGGTTCGCAAGTTTAATATGACTGAGTCGATAGATAGCCCTTTCCACATGTATTGGGTATCTTGCATAAGGATTTCCGCCGATTCCAGGTGCCAAACCAGGTGATGTTGGTGGTACGTAGTTTTTTGATGACTTCGAAGCGCCGAGTAGAGCTTGCGCAGCCTCTCGCCCAGCCGTGCCACCAGTCATCGAGGACTGATATTCCGAGTCTGACTTCTTCTTACCAAAGAGTGAACCAAAGAAGCCAGAGTCCTTCTCCTTCTCCGAGGTACGTTCCCTGTTATCCTTGCTGCCCTTCTTGCCGCCCTTATCACTACCCCATTTACCAAACAACCCCTTTTTATCCTTTTCTTTTCGAGCTTGAAGGGGCGGACTCGGAGTGGAAATTGGAGTGGAAATTGGAGGTGAAGGGATCGTATAAACAGGCGTCGGAGGTTGAGGGGGGCGTTCAGGGACTGATTCTATTGGAGAGGGAGTCCGAGAGAGCTGGTCTGGCACGGGTTGCGGTACAACCAAGCGATGCGGCTGAGGCTGGTGGAGAACGGGGGGTGGAGTCGGCTCAGGTTGTATGGATATAGCTTCGGAAACGGGTGTAGTACGGGGTTCCTCCATCGGTAGGGGTAAAGATTCCTGGGTCTGTGGTGTCAATAGGACAGGCGTATAGGACACATCTTCGTCGTCATCTTCTCTGGCATAGGAATCGTATATCGAGGTTTCTTCACTGTATGACTCCGGCCGTGGCTGAACATTTTCATCAGAGAAGGTTAGGCGACGTATGACACCTCCCGTCAATTCGTCACCGTGATCGCTGGAGGACACTTCGCTAGAAGTTCTTGCTTCAGCAGGTTGTTGTTGTTGTTGAGAGGCTTTGGCACTTGCGCCTCTTCTTGAGGAGGCAAACCGATGCCCACCACCATCTCCTGGCAAACCAGGTTTACGTATCTTCGTCCGCGCAGCTCGGCGAAGAATTTGTCCAGGAGGTGGAACGATGATAGGAGCGTCGGCCTCATCACCCATGTCGGGTACTTCATCCATCAAGTCGAGGGCTGGGCCGCGGACATCAGAGACTGAACTATTGAAGCACAGTTTTGCACAAACCTGTGGGCGACAAATTCATGCTTAAACTCCTCCTTAGTACACTCCGGAGCCTCGATGGGTCGTCACTCGTGGATGCCTCTTCAGCCAATTCTTCTAACTTCTGGAGATCGCTGATTGTAAGCTGCGGCCCTGGATTGGTGGGATACAAAAGACTGCGATTGCGCTTCAAAGGAACAATGTTCTCTTCTTCAACGCCGTCGTTTTCTTTTGGTCGGTATTGCCTGCTTAACATAGACCTTTTCCGACTGAGGCTTGACGAAGAAGACAAGGATGCTGGTGAAGAGGATCTCGAAGACGAATCATCCGGAGGAGCTCTTGCATGCTCCTTAAGAAAGGCGCGAAATTCTGCAGGCGCAATCTCGGGATGTAAGCCTGCTGGGACCCAGAAGAGATGGAAGGGATCGTCAGCGGGATTGTTCGGTGCATCCTGTCGACTGCCACCGGCTGCGCCAGCCTGATCTGGGGATGAGATGGTCGGGTTAGAACCACTGCGAGAGGTCTTGTCACCGCTAGAAGAAGAATGAGTGGGTGATTTGGACCAATACTGCGACGTGGGTGATCCAGGCGGGGACTGATTGGGCAAGTCTGGGTCGATGGTGAGAGCGCCGGGGTTCGTGGAACGTCTCCTGAGATCCTTCAGGGCTTCGACTTCCCGTTGAATCTCATATTCGGAGGGTTGCAGAGGTCGTGCAGCCATGTACGAGGATGTGGTATTACGAGAACAACTGGGTTCGTGCTGGGAGGGTCACCCCGAATCGGTGCCTGACGGAATTCCTGGGCGTAACACAAGAATGCTTCAATGGTGGGGGGGCGAGGGCGTGCGCGATGTTGTCAGCGAACACAGAAGCAGCTGAAGGGGCTCTTGTGTCCAGACAGAGGTCCTGAGGACAGGGTGATGGCTGTAAGTTCGGACGAACTTGCAGTGTGTAAGTAAATTTGGTCAATCGTTCGCACAACTCCGTCAGCAGCCTCACGCCCGCTCAAGTCACTAGTCACTCGACACAGCGCTTCAAGAACGAGGTATCATTACAGGATATACTCTACAACCGTTATGCTATTCTTCTTCGTATCGCGGGCGCGAGGCTTCTCGGTAGCTTCGAGTTCTGGAGGTTGTCCTTTAGCCTGTGGATAATCCATGGAGCCGCGTTCACAGAAGGGGCTCTCCACACCTATTCGCCGACGACCTTTGGCTATCGAGAATTGGAGGAATTTGTTGTCGACTGGGCCGTCAGTGCTGCGCCCTCCCTGCGTAGTTCCTGAACAACCGCCTAAATGACCAGCCACGATATGTTGTCAGCTATGAAAGGCATCATCTTGACTATCGCCAGTAATAATTAGTAACACCGACAGCAAGCGCTTCAGGGTTGACCCCGTTCTCAACCATTCCAATGCATGTCGCCAATGTTGCTTTATCTAGTTGAGTATTCAACAGCTGGGAGATCTCATAAAGTACTGTGGTCCACGGTTGTGAGAGAATGCAGGTACTTGAAGGAAGTCCGACTCACAATCCAACGTCTGTTGTGCTGAAGAATTTCGCTCGGCTTCTTTGGTCGACATTGATGAAAGGTGGAAAGTTGAAAGACAAGCAAGGGATTCGAAGGAATTCGAGATGAAAACCAACTTGGAAACCAGTTGGAAACTAGCTTCGTCTGTTCCATAAGACGCAGTTCGCTCCCACGGTAACTTGATCTCAACCACCATCTCTTGTCTCATCATGGCACCCACCAGCACAGGGAAATCCACAGCTACCTCAAAACCCAAAAAAGAAAAAGTGTTCCATCCCGCTTCGCGCAAAGCAGGTCAACTTGCCCGGCATGCTATCCGCAAAGGCCGACTGGGCAATCTGGCAAGCAAACGAACACATAAGGAGAACTCACTAGGTGTGTATGGCCTATCTGATCTCGTCTCCGGAGGTGGACTGAACAATCTAATACAGTTGATCTCTACGGATTTTTCTACCATGCGCTGCCTGAAGAAGGCGTTCTCTCTTTGGAGGACCTTCATCATATCATAAACGATGTTTGGCTGACCCGATACGACGACGAGCTAGAAAGCGAGAGGGCGGCCAGAAGAAAGGGGCGACCAAAAAGTGTTAAAGAACTCAAGCTGGAAGAACTAAAGCTGAGAGAGGCAGACGTGTACCGGACCGGGATGGGTGCGTAATCGATGAGAGTTTTCCAACCGTCTTTAACACTGTTACTTCACAGAGGTCATCGATCTAACCCATCCACCAACAGTGGAACTGCTCCGGAGATGGGACCAAAAAGAGGTCGCTTTTATTCAAATGCTACGATTCATCCGGATATTCAGCGCCGATACCACCCTTGTCGTTGTGTCGCGACCGGGAAAGCATTGTACCATCACCGAATCCGCAAAACAAGTAATCGATGCGGATGCGATGGATGTTTCAGAAGAGGCCCATCCATGAACAAGCATTCAACATTGGAAGAACAGCTTCGCCCTTTCAATATTTCAATGATGACGATATTTCTCGTTGGACCACCCTCCCTCATCGGCCTACGTCAACTGGCCGGTTACTGCTCCACCCTCTCGTCGGACTCTCGGACGCCTCATAAGCATATTTACCTGTGACCTTTATGCGAGGTAGAATCCCCATTCGAAAGTGACGAAAATTTGGTCCAAGAATAGGTGTAAATCGCATGCGGCGCTTGCATCAGAATTTCTGCCGTGGTCTTGTACTCCATGGACGCTGTTGCTACCGGCGACACGTTTGCCATGTAGACAACCATGGCGCCTGTTTCTTTTGTAGTGATGCAATGATGCTGAACAAGTCGAGCCGAGCCGACAACCTCACTTGCACCCACAATCCAGATATATATCGGACCAACTCGGACCGTGTGGTAATCTTATAACCGTGAGGATCGCGGCCAAGGTCCGGCTCCGCGACCAGCTTGGTCCAGAACCTCCACCATTCAGGCTCACTCCAGCAGCTTACCTCCACAAAAGCCCAGTAAAGTAGCTCCCCTGGGCCTGAACTCTGAACGATTTAAAATGCGGGGTTCTCAAACGTCATGCAGAAGCGGGTTGAGACCCCAGCCGTCACCACGTGCTCTCGCTAGAATTTGGCGAGGCGCCGCCTAACTGACGATCGACATATTTCGTGAGAGCCATCTGTTCACCAATCTGCTTTGTCTGCGGTTTCGCCCGTTCCCAAGCCTTCGTAAATACACCTGCCAAGGCCTAGATTCCAGACCTCTACCCTTGCGAGACTCGGACGGGAGGAGTTAATGCAATATGCTTCCATGATCAAAATGTTTTCAGGCTGGGGATCCGGGTCATGTCGACCTTTCTTACTACTACCACCACCATGGGCTCTCTTTCGTCTCCTAAAGTCTTGATTGTGCGCCCCTTGTCATATTTTCGACGATTAACGTGTCCTTGACGCGTCAACAGGTCGGAGGAGGCCCATCTGGCTTGATTCTTGCTCTCTCGCTGCTGCAGAATGGAGTTCCCGTCCGTATTATTGAGAAAACTGCTGAACCACGACTCGGACAACGAGGAGCGGGCATTATGGTACGAGATTTGACTGTTCTCTCCTGATACAGCGTTCATTTTTTTCCCTCTACAGCCGCGATCACTGGAATTGTTTTCACACTTGCGTATTATTGAGCCGGTCATGAAACGCGCCATCTTGACCCCAACTGTACGAATGTACAAAATGCCCGAGGGACGCGAGGTGCTTCAAGAATTCGAGATGTCACCTCATCGGAATCCGACACCTACCCATCCCTTCGTATGCCTTCATTCCACCCCGAGGCGTGGTCACGCACCTCTAATTCAAAGCGTTTTCAGTTGAACCCTGTTATGCTTGGCCAAGACAGCCTGGAAAAGATATTCCATGCCGCCTTGGCGGAATACGGGTGCTCCGTAGAATTGGGCACCGAGATGACATCTTTCGAACAGCAAGAAGGTTGCGTCAAGGTCAATCTCATTCGCAGGGGATTTTCACAAGATATGTCGAGTGGGGTTCATGAACAGGCTGTCTATGAATGGATGATCGGAGCCGATGGTGCTCGTGGTGTGGTCAGGAAACAACTGGGTTTGTCATTCCTCGGCGAGACGCGGTCGGTTGAGAACTTTATCGTCGGAGATATCTTCGTGGAAGGCTTGTCGCAAAAGGTCAGATTTTTTTCTATTGCCAGGCTTCTTCGGTAACTCAACCTTGCTTATTTTATAGTATTGGCATATTTGGGGCGATTCAACGGATGTTATGTTAGTCTCTTTTTTATTATATCACGCCATCGCCATCTAACAGACTGAGTAGGATAAGCCTAAGAGCAACAGAAACCCCATCCTTGTTTAATTTTTTGGTTGGTGGCAAGAACGTCAACCACCCAGCATTCACCGCAAGTGAGGCTGCGCTGAAAGGCTGTTTTGTGAAGCACACTGGATCACGGCCCGATATGAAGTTTGGCGAAATCCCGTGGATGTCGCATTATACGTATGTGCTCGCCATGTCGATTTTTCCGACCATCAGCTCAAGGGCCGATACCTAGGCCTAATATTCGGATGGTTCAAACTTTTGGTTATGGCAGGGTTTACGTTGCCGGAGGTAAGAATAGCTCATGTCTACGAAGACCTAGACCCTGAACGCTTGATTTTGCTAGATGCTGGCCATGTTCACAGTCCTACCGGAGGCCAGGTTGGTTCTATGCTTCTTAACGGCCATCTACATCTATTGTAGATACTAACGTGTTCTCTAGGGGATGAACACCGGTGTCCAAGATTCTTTCAACCTTGGGTGGAAATTAGCGTTAGTCGCCAAGGGCCTAGCGCACCCTTCTCTCTTGCAAAGTTATACGGAGGAGAGGATTCCTGTCATCCAGGAGATGATACAACAGACGACCAAATTGCTCAAAAGGACTTTGGATAACGACGAGACTGCCTGGAAAACTAGTGGCAGTCTCTTTCAACTTGGCGTCAACTATCGATGGAGCTCAATACTCGTCGACGAACGCAAGGCAATAGAGGCCGAGCGCGAAGCTGAAGAAGATGCTTACATGCAGGACTTCGAATTCGACGACGACTATGAAGACGAAGTCAAGATCGACTCGTACGGAATCGACAGCGATGGTCGGCTGCGGGCAGGCGACAGGGCTCCGGACTCTTCTGGCCTCATCTTCCGCAGTCCTTCACCCCTCGCAAAACAAGCCTGCCAACTATTCCAACTGTTCAGCAACGCCCATCATACGCTTCTTGTCTTTTCTGATATCGTCAGTTGTAGCAATGTCCTCCAAGCTGCTGCGCTCTATCCCAAAGGTCTATTACGCACCGTCGTCGTCGCCCGCTCCAAGAAGTCAATACCAACGATTTCCGACCCCGTCGATTTTATTCTCGAAGATCGAGATGGGCACACGTATAACTCGTATTGTCCGACGGGTGTCTGTGGAGCTTGTGTCGTGAGGCCGGACGGTGTCGTCGGTGCTATAGTGAAGGGATCAGTTGGTTTGCATCGATATTTCCGTGGAATTTTTACAGCACCAAGTCAATCGCATTGACGGTGCTGTCGAACAGGGGTTTGAGATCAAATTGATGACTATATATATTCTAGCATTATCCTAATAGTCCTAATAGCATCGTCTAGCATCTATAGCAATAATAATGGCTACGGTCCATTCTGTACTTGCAGGTGCATACTTAGAATTTATTCGAATCTCTGTACCAATAAAATAACGTTGTGCCCATTCTCTCAAGATTTTCTGCTCAAGAGTGTCGTTGAAGTGTCTGGGCCATCACTATGCGCGTGCCCTATTGCGATACTCTCACAAACAACGCGGGCCTCCTCCGCTCTTTCTGGGAAGACGGAGTCTAACACCACCTCCGTGGACTTGTCCAGGCATTCGCTGGCATTCGCATCCCACGACACCGTGCTTCTCGCCTCGTGTTCGTCCGCATTAGTAGCGCGATGCGTCCCTATCCAGTCACCTAGTAATCCCTTCAGCTTGTTCCGATAACCACCTACACGTCCCTGTAGCCATGGACTCAGCCAGTGTTTTCAGCGACGACGATTACGATGTCATCTCCAACCCAAGTCATCATTCTCTTGAAAACAGTGTGGGCGACCTCCTTCAGGGCTCGTTCTCTGTGGTACGTGAGCTGCCTGCGTCTGAGGACGCCCAAGACAGGTTTGAGACGACGCGGTGGACTGCTAGCGAGATTCAGGCCTACATCCGGAAAGAACTCCACTTGCCGCCTCAGACTTCGTTCGAAAACAAGAGATTACGCGTCTATGTTGACGGCTCGTTCGATCTGTTCGGGGTTGGGTGGGTCACACAACACTTTGCTTCCCGTTACCCTTATTCTTACCGTCCTTTTTCAGGCATGCTCTGCAGTTGCGACAGGCTAAGCTTGCCTTTCCATATGTGCATCTCATCATCGGTGTATTCTCGGATGATCTATTGCGTCAGTATAATGCTACGACTACCTGGCCGGAGCTTGAGAGACTCGAGATTGTAAGGCACTGTCGCTGGGTTGACGAAGTCACTAAAGACGCCCCATGGGAATTGACACCCAAGTTCCTGGAAGAAAAGGGCATTGACTTCGTCGCCATTGACGAAGGAACGTCTGTAGACCCAAGTTGTGACAAAATGCGCGTCAGAGGCTACGACGAGCTGAAGAAGCACGGTAAACATATTTCTCGAGTTCTCTGTTTAGAAAAGTGAATCCTTATGATTATATTGGCCAGGCAAGATTATCAAGACCAGAAGGACGCTCGGTCTTGCATCTCAGCACAAACTTGCTATTCCCAGCCATTCCCAGAGAGCGACCCCAACTTTGACTGCCGCACCAGAAGCACCAGACTTTACTGAGCACGTCGAGATGTATGGTGTAGCCGCATGAGATGTTGGCTCGGGTCTTCGATTCCGTTAGGTGGGAGGATATGTCCTTAGAATCTTAGTGTCGAGAACTTGGAAATGATCTGTTTCTATTCGCTTCTAGAGAATATAAATTTTCTCCATTCAAGCCTTTCTATGGTACGCCTCCACGCTGAGCACTTCGCACGGGGCCTAAGGGACAATGACGCGGCTTTCAAATTGATCTCAATCACGATCGGAGGAGCCCCTTTTCCTCGACGCTCCCGGTGAACGCTTCCGTTTTTGACTCACCCGCTGATCCACAAGACCAAAAACCCTGACTCCTCCCTAAAGAGGTGGTCAATCCGTCGATTATCCAGGCACCCTAGCTTGGAATTTTTTCGCTAACCTCGTCGCAGCGTACTATGCATGTCATCCCCACCAGCAGCTTGCTCAGAGATGCCGCTTTCAACATACCCAGAGAGGACTGGAAATTTGCCTATCGCTTACGACGACCCCGACGCACCACCTTCCCTTCCCAACGAGCTCCTTGGGCAGATTATTGAGCGAGGATGGAATGCCCCCATGCCCCCAAACGAACGCACCGAATTTCTGACAAGCACCTTCCTTGTCTCCAAAGAATGGCTAGCGACGCTCGCAAGGGTATCCCTCATGGACGTGTACATCTCGTCGCCCGCCTACCTCGCGTACTACCGTCGCCTTATCGAAGGCAAGTCGGCGGTGTACGGACAAGCCCTCAGCCCGGGTAGCAGTGCGGTCGACCTCTGCCGCTCAATTACCCGTCAGATTCCGCTGTCGGTGCACCGATTGGAGCAGGTGTCTGGCCTCCGCGACCGCTTATGCGGTAAGCCCATGCGCGACCTCCTATCGACCTTCCACTACTTCCCCTACTTCCCCAACCTGGAGAGCCTAGCGGTCGAGTACTACACCGAAGGACCGAGGCCAGGCGACAATTCGAAGATGAACTCGAAGAACCATCTACCAAACCAGCTCGTCTCGTTCCGCGTGCCCATTGTCCCGTTGACCCTGGAATACCACTTCTCGCAGCGCGAGCCGGCATGGTTCGTCGACGCTCTCTGCTTCTCGGGACAACAAAACCGATGGGCGATGCAGAACTGCGTCCCCTGGGCGTTGCCGCACCTCGAGCATTTTACGATGCCGCTGTCGGGCGAGGATCAGGATTTCGGCGACGTGTTGGAGCGCTGTTCGCACCTTGAGGTCGTGCAAGAGGAGGTCAAGGTCACGGTGAACATTGTGTCGACTTCGATGGGAACGGAGGATGAGAGGATGGCTGGAACGATTATACATGGCGCGTTGTGTCAGCCTGTCGGGCGGGAAGGAAAGGAGAATGGGACAACAGTTGCAAGCGGAAGGGCCTTGGGGTTTGTCCTGCCGCTGGGTGCAGCTTATGCCCGGTCGAAAATAATCGGAGATGGTGAAAACAAGGCGAGAAAGGTGCATGTCCTCGTCCGGAGGTGTTGCTTCGCAATGTAGCCCCACTGCGGGCTTCAGCCAAGCTCGTTTGCATGGCACTGTTCAATTTGCTTGAAAGCTACAGAATACAACTGTACACGACATGGAGCGATACATTGACATCAGGTGGCATAGCCGTCATCATCAAATAATTTACTCGTAGTTGGCGTGGATGCGTCCAGAAGCATATGCAAAGAAATACACGAAGATCTCGACTCAAAGAGGAGAGGACATAAGTAAGACATACGCAAATACGAGTCAGGGAGAGGACAACACCGCGGCTGGGAACCGTGGTCAGGTCTCTACGGTCGTCCCACCTACCCCTCGTAGTTGCTTTCTATGGACGCCTTTGTGGCGGTTGAGCTGGTCCGGACGGGCGAAGGCTTTGTTGCAACCCGGTTCGTTGCAGACGTATGGCCGTGCGCCTGTATGTGTTCGGAGCTATTTTTCGTCACGTAAGTATCTTATAGTAGACAGGAGAACAGGAAAGGACGAACATGTTTCGAGAGGTTGGAAGACTCGGCAAAGCCCCTGCAACGAAATTAGTCCCTGAAGAACGGGTCACAAAAAGTAACAATCACCTGTCGCAGAAACTGCACTTGAAAGGCTTGTCGCCGTTATGTGTCCTCTTGTGGATGGTTAATGCACCAGTGATCGCAAACGACTTCCCACAGTCGGGGTAATCACAGACGTAAGGTTCTAGGCTGGCTTAGTTTGGGAATGCGCCATCGAGGGTCCTCGACTTACTTTCTTGGGTATGGCGTCTGATATGCTGCTGCAATGTTGCAGCTTCGGAGAAGTTTTGTTGGCATATCTCACATTGGAAAGGCCGATGGCCTGTGTGGGACTGGGTAGGCAGGACGTTAGTCGATGACTTGTAGAATGAAGAAACGAAGAAAACGACCGACCTGAATGTGCCTGCATATTTTTTGCTTACTCTGGAAGCCCTGGCCGCCGTTCCGGCCGCAGTTGTCCCAAAAGCACTCGTAATGGGCCTTGCCTCCACCGACGTGGACGGAGGTTATATGTGCTGTTAGTTCGTCGCAAGACGGGAAGGGCAGTCCGCAGTCTTTCCATCGACATTCGTGGGAGCCTGCGCAAGAATGTTGCTCATTAACTGGGGTCGGGGAAGGGGCGGCTGGGGGTTCTGTTCGTGAATTCACATTCTCCGCTGTGTCGAGCTTGCTGGTGAGTACGGGAGAGGGAACGGTCATGGCCACGTTTTGCAACAACGGCTGGTCTGTGGCGCCAAGTGATCGCGGAGGAGGTTGAGGAGGCGAGACCCCAAGGTGCTCGCGCATGAGATGGTAAGCCAGGACGTCTAGATCAGGGCGCGATGTGAAATAGGATCTGTCGCAATCTGCCCACATGCAGGAGACCGGTGCCTGCTGGTTTCCTGGGTTAAAGCTGCGACCGAAGCTGTTGGGGTCACTCTCTGGCTGTGGTGGTGGAGAGGTGACGAGATGGTGAAGATTGACATGCCCGACGAGTTCAGATAGCGAGGGGAACGAGGTGTTACAATTGCCCCACATACAGCTGAAGGAGGAGGGGGAAGACGCCGGTGGTTGTTGGGGGGACTGGGGATATGATTGGATTTGAAAGGTGTCGCGGTGCGGGGCGCTGGACGTGGAAGTGTCGGTTTTCTCCAAAAGTCCATGAACGCCTCTTCCTGTCAGGGCGTACGGTATGCCACTAGAATCGATGTGCTTGTCTTGGAAGGTGGTGGGTTTGGCGCCGTGAGGGTCGGTGCAGTCACACCAGGACTGATTGAAAGAAGAGTCCCAGTTAAATGATTGGGTATGGCTGTATGGGAGCATCGGCCGTGGCGGAGATGGACCGGTGTTATACGCAGGATAGTCGGTGCAACATTGGAGCTGGAAGGTGGCAACATGAATAAAGAATTGATAATACATGATTCTAGACGTACAAATGCGTCGAAGCCATGGCAGTCCGTGCAGTCTGTTGCGTCGTCGCAGACGAGATCGCAGTGGAAGTGTTCTCCAGAGACGTCGCACATCGATTCGGCGTGATCAGGATCGTTGCAGGCGATGACAACGCACTGGTCGGTGCATTGGGAGGTGAGAGCGTTGGCGGAGGCGCAGAGGGGCTCCTGGCATTCGACGGGCACATTGCAGTCTGCGCACGGGGGACTCGGCTGGACGTATGGCTTATAGGCCATCCTGCTGGACGAAGCAAAGGCCATTGGGCGTGTGTAAGGGGGGCTGGCAGGGCACAGAGAGGTGAAAACGAGGCGAGCGTTACTTGCCCTCCGATCACATCCATGACTGTGACGGTTCTCATTTTTACGTAAGCACTTTATCACACTATCGTACACTGACATCACGCGTATCTAATCTTCAAAGTCCAATTCACTGCTGCCCAACTCCACCGTCTGCACCACTTCCGAGTCCTCCATGTGCACATCCTCGTTCCCGGCTGCTTCTTCCTCTGCCGGGCTAAGGAAATCCAAGCAGCCACGCTGACAGCCACGCCAACGCAACGGTGCAACCCCTCCAATCTGGATGCCCGAGATCATCTCGACCCAAGTGAACCGTTCCTCCGCGTGCTGGATGAAGATGCTATGCGTCCTCTTGTGTTCCGCCTTTGGGCATAATCCAATTCCACTCGGATGTGAGGCTGCAGCTTCGCCATCCACGCTCTTCTCTGACGCGACAACCTCATCGTCGGTCGCGATCGAACCTCGAACACAGTTCGACAGTGTGCGCCGGAGAGGTGCCGATATTGGGCGGTAGGATGGTCCTGTGGGGATGGGAAGATGATACATTTCCTCCAGCAGGGTTTGAGGGATCTTTGTGCGGTCGACGAAAAAGGATGTGATTGGACGGGCCAGTAGAACGCGTAGGGAAAGCTCTGTGAGTGCTGGGACTGCTAAACCCGTATGCCGTGTTTCTGATACTCGAGGCTGGCCACTTGTCTGGGGATCAGGAAGGAAGGGGTTGGGCAACACAATCAACTTCGTTAAGCTCCTCATCTCCATCAGCTCTGCGGGCAAGAACTCGAGTTGGTTCCGGGCTACGTTCAAATCCGTCAGATTCTCCAGCTTGCCTATCTCTGGCGGAAGGTACGAAATTTCATTGTGTCCTATGAAGCTGTAAGTTCCTGGTTGCATTTATAAACGAAGACACGACACACTGAGTGACAAGACTCTAAGGTTGTGCAAGCTCCATAGTTCAACCGGCAGTGTCGATATGGAATTATTCGCGAGGTACAGGTCGACGTGTTCTCTCGACGTCCCGCTCAAGACGTGGCTACTTGACACGCTCTTCTGCAAAGCGTCGCCTGAACCCCATCCAAGTGAAGTAGACGCCGGAGCGGTCTGCACACGAGTAAATGCTCTCCGTTTCTCCAGACCGTGCACCGGCTTTGTAGCGATGCGGCTGTCATCCATGAATTCTCCGGTTTCAGGCAAAACTACCATCTTTCCGAGGTCCAGAATGGAGCGAGGTGGTATTTTCGTGAGATGACAGCCTCTACATGATCAAATGTCAGGAAAACTGAAAGAAAAGTAGTACAGAACTCGACGCACGTCAGATCAACCTTCCGCTGCCCGGAACTAAAGACATCATCCACCGCTTCCTCCCACAGAGCGAATTCCATATCGTCTGCTGAGACCACTGACGTCGACTTTGTCTCTTCCATCTCCGTGTCCATTTCCGGCTCGGGTCCGAGCCTGTACGCCCAACGCGCCTTCTTCTGTGGGGTACACGGCGGCGTGAACACGGTCGACGTCCGCTTCGCGCGGTTCGCGTTGTACGCTCCAGCCAAAGGGTCGATGACACGCGTCTGCGGCGGCGCGCCGTGTTCATGTTCGCCCTCGTCCTCGCTGTGCGTTGGGGACGAGGGCGGAGACGAGCTGTTCCATGTCGAGCTAGTGAGCGAGGCGGGGGAGGAAGGGGGCGTGTAGAGTTTGTCGTGGTGGACTGGCAGCATAGAAAGAGGGGGAAAAGAAGAAAGAGAAGGCGGGAGCGTGGTGCTTAAGTATAATGGGGGCTGTCAACGGCACGGTCACGTGGAGACGCGTTTTTGATCATCTTCCGCAGCGATTTCGGATTCTGAAGGCTGGAACCACTTATGTCGCGTAACCTCCAACTTAGTTTGTCTGCGCCTTCACCAAGTACATCCGCTTCCATCATCTACGGCATGCGAAGGAAGACTGTACATACAAATCTCCCGCAAGCTCGCACCCCTTCCCGCAATTCTTTCACCATTTCGATCCCCCACCACAAGCAAGAGCGATCTTGCACCCACTTTCGACGTTATGATGCCCAAGAAAGGCAGTTGTCGCCAGGGTTCCAACAGATTCTCAGCAGTCTTGCCCTTCTGGAACTCTTCCTCTGCTGCTTTGAACCGCTTGTCTTCTTTCAGGCCGTCGTATATCGGCTAGAAACTCCGCGCAACAAAGGCTCTTCAGAGCCGCCGTGACTTGCAAGGCCTTCCTGGGACCTGCGATGTCTGTCCTTTAGCGATTTACGGACTTTGCAACTGGTCCTAACAACATCTCCACACGTCCGCTCTCATCCAACTCATGGGAGACGTTGGAAATTTATCCCTTTCAGGCTGGGGAGATCAAGTAGGCCAGCCTCACCTGTCGAACTCCATCAAAAACCCGCAACCAACTAGAAAGTAAGTTGTTCTTTCGCGCACCCGAACAGTTGTCATTTATGGGACCCCTTTTATCGTTGTCGATCTTCTTGACTGTATAGAAGCTCCGCAGAACCTGAACGCGCTCGTTCTCATCTTCGACAGTTTCTTTGAGGTCCCGTCGACGGAAAACCTGGGTGTCTCCACAGAAAAGCGCATCGAGGCATTCTGTCCTCTTGACACCTACAATTCAATCACCTCCTTGCTCATGACTCGCACTCCTGTCATGTGCACCGATACACAAATTTAAGAGGATACTCAGATTGACACTAACAATCTTGACTATCGAGGACTCACCGTGGTCACGCCTCGAATTTTTTTTTACCTTACGTCTGCAGAAAAGCTGGCGTTGCTAGTCACGGGGAGGTTGCTTTTGAAGGCGGACGAAATTTCCGTCGACGACCTTGACGAGGTCGACACTCAGATGGTCAAGAAGTTGGAAGCAACTAGAAAAATCTACAAGAACCGATTAAACTAGTCACGGAAGTGGCGGTCTGAAAGCTGCTGCAATTCCCTCCTCCGTGAAAAGAAAAGAGCACACCCTGCAGGTTGAACAGGCTTCGAGCCCACGACTGCTCGCATTACGGTGCTCACGAAGTAGTCCATTTCGCCGATGGAAAAAAAAAACAGCAGGAAAAACCGTGTATTCGGCGCTCCAGCTATTATGTCCTTTTACTGGCTTGAGAAGTAGCCGGAGAGAATATATGTTTTCCTCGGGTGACGAAGCTGGCAAAGCCTAGCCTTGAGTCCATCTCGTCAATCTTGCTGGAAAGAAAATGAGTCGGCGTTTCAGTATAAGCTTAGCTGCAACGCACTGTTTCCTCATCTCGCTGGACCAAGTTATCTCTCTGAGAGCCGGGGCATTCAAGCAAGCGCCGAGAATCCCGAGGAACATCGCTAGAATGGTTTCGACGACAATCTGGAGAAAGAAGTACCCGTGTAGGTCAATAGATAGAGGTAGTGAGAACTGAAGCACTGACGTCTTGAGGAATCGGGCCCTCAGGTCTTTCGAGGGCCTTTAATCTGGATAGGTCTGATACACGAGATTGGTGTTGCGAACTACTCCAGAATTCTGAACCCACGTTCATATGTCGAGAAAGCAGCTGGAGAATGGTGTTAATAGAGCTCTGTAACTTTCGAGTCACAAAATAATTACAGTGAAATATGCCTATCGTTGCCAGTACGAGAAGAATGCGTCCGAACATATTGAGCAAGAGGACAAGGTGGGAGTTGCAAGCCAAGTCGTAAATTGTTGATGACATTATGTCGCGTGTCCACGTGGTTTCGCACTGTTGTGGGCCTTGCACAACTCTCCCTTCTGAAGTCAGGCTGGCCTGCGCTACTTACACCTAATGGCCTTTCCTATACCAGACCACCTTCCGAAGCGACCAGCACCTGTCGACGTCTCTTCGCAAATCTTGTATAAAATCGACTCTGCGACGAAGGACACGCTAAATTCGTCTTTGGCAGCGTCATGGCTCGGGGAGCTAGAGGACTCGATTCAGGCCACGAAGGTGCGTGTACTCTTCTGTCGTCAGTTGGGAAGATTGTTCTTATTCCTTCTTATTTCTCTGGAATCGCAATAGCAACGTATCCATGACCGTATTCAGTCCGACTTACCCAAATTCAATCACCAGCTTGAAACGTCCAAGTCAGTCCAAGCTCGCTATGAATCGCTAGTTTCTAGGACAGACAAGCTGAATGAATCCATTGCCAACCCAAATGTACGCACTAATCATACTGCTTGGTACGCGTGTGTTTTATGTCTCTTGTAGACGGGCATTCTTCCAACACTTGTTGAGACTTTGTCAAAACACTCGTCACTAGCTCAAGAAGCCAGTGATGCAGAGGCACTTTACGAGGGCTTCTCCTACCTTCTACGCTGCAGAAATGTCTACTCGTCTCTCGTCTCCGTGATCCTAGCTGGCAAATTGCCGGAGGGTGTCGCAATTTCTGCAGAGGTTCAGCAGCTACTCGAGGAAATGCCACCATCGCTCACGAAGACTGCTGTTTCGGAAGACCTGAAGGTGCACGCGAAAACCAACCACACCCTCGCGAAATTAATTACTAACTGATTGGTCTTCGACAGCACAAATTCAGTGCCTCCAGGGCTCGGATCCAGGACCAATTAACCGACGCCTATTCAAAGAGCATCATCATGTCGCCCAAGGAGATTATCATCCGTGCAGAAGTGCAAGGTATGTCCAATTATTGAGCCTGTATTCAATGCATTAATTTTCCGCAGTGCGCGGTTCCGACACAATGCTCAAGCTGTCTGCATTATTACACTCCCTTTCTCCTACGACGCTCTCGGGTCTGCTGTCCACTTTGCGCAGGGACCTCTTGACTTACTTCGTGGACCACGTCCTCACTCAGCCGTACACAGTGTTGACTGAAACATCTATTCCTGATGAAGTCAAGTTGTCCTTGATTCCTGCTCCGCCGTATTCTGAAGACCTGCGAAAACGCATTGACAATTTGTCCAATATTTTGGACTTCCTCTCAATCCACCTCTTTCCTCATTTCCCCCAACAAGAAATTGCCCAGTTTACACGCTCTCTGAGCAAGCCGATCACGAACAGTGTGCTGAACAACCTCCTCACGCCTTTCCTCCCTTCTTCATTCGGTCTTCTTCCTTCCTTCCTTGACCTTCTACGGCGAGCAGTCATTTTTGAAGAGAATGATATACAACGTCTGTTAGAAGGCGATCGACAGGAAGGATCTATTAAGGCCTGGTCAGATGGGGTCTCGGGCCATTACGAACGGCGACGACGTGTCGAAATTCTGGAACAGGCCCGCAAAGAAATTGTTACAATCGACGATATCAATGACACATTCAAAGCCGTTAGCGATGGTGGCCCGGAAACATCACTTCCTACAGTCGTACCGGTGCAGGAAGACGAAGCTCTCAAGGACGATGCCTGGGGCTTTGACGAACCCGTTAGTAGCAATCCTGTGGAAGACAATGCTGATGGATGGGGCTTCGATGAACCTACTACCCCCAATGCCGCCACGGACAACGCAGATGGCTGGGGCTTTGACGACGAGATGGACCCTGAACCCGCACCAGAAGCACAACCTGAAGTCCCCAGTGAGGAGGCAGCCCCAGAACTTATGGAGGTTGATGAAAAGAAGGAAGAAGCTAACGGCGACGCAGAGCCGGATCCAGGAGACGCGTGGGGTTGGAACGACGATGCGGATCTCCCGGCAGAGGATGCCCCAGAAGACAATCCATGGGATGACCCCTGGTCCGACCCTCCTGATACCACTGCAACTCTTGAACCGCCGCCGTCGCCACCTCCCCCTGCAAGCATTGTTGTCTCTCCTAAGGTAGCTACTCGACTAGAAAAATTAGCAACGAAGCAGAAGAAGCAGCTCAACGGCCAGTCTTCAACCACCACAACACCATTATCGTCACCTCCAATACCTGAACCAACGATGACATTTTCGCCTCCCTCACCTCCACCTGAGCCAGAACGTAAGAACGCACCAGAGAATGGCCGCCTTAAGTTGAAGCGCCCTCCAGAAGTCGTGACAACAATTGCCCCACAGGAATACTACCTCGTACCCAAGCAGACGAAGCGCGTCCTCAAGATGGTCGAGACGGTCATCGACGAGAGCAAGCTCTTCTACGCGTCGAATCTCTTCCCTGCGTCGAAAGATATGTTTCCCGCTCCAGGGTCGATATTGCTGCAATCGACGTCGTCGATATTGGATCTGTATGAGGCTCTGTATCCTGTTAAACATGCGAAGGCACTAGAGTTGCCAGAAAGGGGGATGCTCTTTTCTAACAGCTGCGTGTACATGACTGGTGCGGTCCAACGGCTGGAAGACACAATCTATGGGCAGTCCATTCTGAAGGAGCGCTTAGTAGAGTGCAGACGCCACCTACAGGTTTTGGGTGACAATTGGTACGATGGCACTATCGTAAGTACTTTTTCCCTGAGAGTGTTTCTCGCCTATTAAATACATCTTTTTTAGGAACGGGAGCAACAGAGGATTGACAAAATTCTTGTCGATGGTGCTCAAGGCTTTACATATACCACAGACCAAGACCGTTATGATGAGTGTGAGCAAACCGTCAATGATGTGCTCAAGGATATCAAAAAGCTTGCTCAGCGTCTCAAAGTACGCATTTGTCCCATAATCTTTGTTTCTCGTGTTACTGAACGTCATAACGCAGGGCATCCTCAGCAAGAGCAAGTACTTTGCTGCCATTGGTTCAGTAGCAGACTCTGCTTTATCAAGAGTGCTTCGAGACGTCCTCGCGCTGCCAGATATTCCGGAAATGGAGTCTCATAGGCTGAGCGAACTGTGTCGGATACTCAATGCTCTGGAGGGCCTTTTCAGCGACAACCCCGAACAGGTCACTAGCACCAGACTTTTACGCCCATCCATTCTTATAACTAATGATTTACTCAGCCCTCCTTTGTCGTTGCCTACGTGCCCAACTGGCTAAAATTCTCATATCTTTCGGAACTTCTGGTTTGTTCTTTTGTTTTAGCATTGGGACTTTCTGAACTTTCTGTATGCAGGAAGCCTCTCTTGCAGATATCACATACCTCTTTGAGCAGGGGGCGCTCGTCGATTTCCAGGTCCATGAGCTCGTTAACTTGGTTCGAGCCCTCTTTGCAGATACCTCACTAAGGACAAATACGATCAACAAGCTCCTGAACGGTCATCCAGCACCGTCGTAGTAGATACCATAATATGCTAGCGGTTTTGTAACGCCTAATTTTGACGAAACATGCAGGAAATGGATCTGTTCTATCTTACTTCATCAATCGTCATCGTCATCACCCGCTGCTTTCTTCTTTTTCTTCTTCTCTTTTCGTTTCTTGTTCTTATCATGTGACGTCGACGCTTTGTCCATGGCCAGCAGGTCCTTTATTGATGGTAGGGCTGAGCTTTCGAGCGGAACAAGGCGCATAGGGCGTTCATCTTGCATTTCTTCACCACTGTCGGCCGCCGAGGCAGGTTGTGGGGGCGGAGATTTGGCTTTAGGTTCTGGTCTTAGTGGAGGTATTGATTCATTCATAGGTATCCAATGTCGCGGCGCATCGTCCAAATCTTCCTCTTTTTGTGGCTTCTGCTGGGCTTCCTTCCCTATTTGTGAGGGTTCGTCGTCGGAGCCATCGACGTCGATCCCTTCATACTCGCCAGCGTCAGCAAAAATGTCGAGGCCCTCGTCGATGGGTTCAGGTTCCTTGGGGATCTCAACAATCGTTGGAGGAACGTGGGGACGGGCTATCGGACTGCTCGGAGTCTCTGCGGATGATTCTTTAATCTTCCGCTTCTTCTTTTCACCATCGCCTCCTTCCGTAGTTGATTTCTTCTTCTTCGTCGACGTTGAACCAATGGATTTGAACCCAATAGGTTTGAAGTTGCCTGTTTGCTCTAACGACCGCTTGCCCTCTCCATCGATATGAGGTAAAGGACTGGCCTTGCCCCTCTGTTCGGCCCTCTGTCGCTTAAGGTCCTCGATGAGATCTTGACGCGTTCGCTTCTTCGCGGCGGTGGGTTCAGCATGCGACGATGATTCCGCAAATGCTTGCTCGAGTTCATCGACGTCGTCTTTGGTTAGCGTGCTTGTTGCTTTATTTTGTTCAAACAAGGCAAAGTCAAGGCCCTTGACGAGGACTGAGTGTTCTCCATCTCCACCCAAGTATTTACGTTGAGCATCAATCTGCATACATTGAGCAATAAGGTCTTGTCATCGAGAAAAAGGACGTACAGTGTTCTTGTCTTCGCCCTCATTCCTCTTCTCAAAGTCTTCAAGAATTGCCTCAACCTAAAGACGAAGGGTTGAGCGGACACACAGACAAGACCGCCTAGTGCATACGTGCGCATAGTCATTCCCTTCTCCATCTCTCCGCTCTGCAGCGCGGTCGCGGTATTTAGAATCAGCCGTTTTCTTTACTTTCCGCGGCTTAAACGCTGGTTGGGGTGGTTCTACAGGCTGTCTTTTCAGATATGTAAGCTTGAATCCTGTAGAGCTCGATATTAACGCACTTTTTCGTAGGAACAGCAAGCTTTGCGCGTGACGTTGCCGCAGCGCCGAGTGTAGAGGAGCCGCGTGCTTGAGGGGTTGCAAGCATACGGCGAAAGTGATCCTAAATTACTTAAACATGGGACTTGTGTTCAGCATGGAGGCTGACCGTACTTACTTGATCCATTGGTCCTTGTAAGATAAGGAAGGCCACCAAGGTGCTGAACAAATTGGAACCTTGACACCTTCGCTGCAGATTTATTTGGTTCTGCTTGCATCGGGAGATCTTACTTATATGTAAAAGTACTTTGGCGCTGGCCAAGTTCCAGCACCTCTTCCGTCTTTTCTCCTTGCTTCTCCCCCTATTCCTCTCTGACTAAGAAAACAAGCATGTGCGGAATTTACTCACTCTGCACCAGTCTGAGTTGATCTCAACAAGTATCCCAGAATATAAAAAGAAAATGTATGAAGTGGATTATGATACAAAAGTCGGCACTCATTTACTTCACTTGTAATTCGTTACTTCTTCATTCGACATGTTCTTCATTGTCATCTTAAACCCGATTTCTCTTTGACCTGTTGCATACTTGTCAGCATAAGGATAGGAAGAGGGACAAAATGACGATGGACTAACCTGTCATCCTTCTCTCTATCTCTCCTTCCCTCTAGGGCGCTAAACGCCTGAAAGAAAAGAATGGAAGAAAGACAAGGGCACGAAGGACCGTAATAAATAGAATGCAAAATGGAATGTGATGGAAAGAGGGAGTCGCAGACGGTAGGGAATGCTGGTTGATGTGCGTGTGACGGTGGCAGGCGGAGGGAAGGGCGAAGAATCGACAGCGAACCGGAAAACTACGGAAACAATACCACAGGAAGAGACAAAGTTGGAAGGTCGGTATCGAAAACAGTAAGTACGATGTTGGTAAAGAGAACACTGGGATTAAAATATGGGCGGAGCGTATAGATGGATTGCTGAACGGGGCTGTAAGAGGATAGGCGATAGTGTAGATGTATACCAGAAGAAACCCAAAAAGCGGCTAGCGTCAGGAGAGGGGGGGAGGTTGTGGGGTAATAGTTATAAGGTGATTGTCCGCACTCGGCCTTTGCTGTGATCTGTCCATGTCGAAATGAAACTTCGCAATCCGTCTATCCTTGCAAGCAGATGGCAACTACACTGGGGGTGGAAGTGTGGAGATGGGAATCCGAAGGACAAGAAAGGAGAAAACCAGATAAAAATGACGATGGAGGTGTTGTCGAGCAACCAGCCGGCACTTCAAGCCGCGCTGTACAGGAACAGGTTGTTCGTAGCAGCGATCTAAGATGGTCGTTCAGAGAGAAGGATAAACTGGCACGGACGGCCGACGCACCGCGATGGTATTCTCCCGAGGATGCCAGCTCGCGTGCAGAATTTTCTTGTTGAAGTCGAGAGTCTCCAGCTGCATAGCATCCCTCAGCCCGCCAACCCTTGGCCCATTCTTCAGGCCTTTCTGTCCGGGGAGGGGTCCACCAATTTTCTTGGCTTTGAACGCCGATTTGTCAGCTTGTAATACAACGTCGTTCAACGTGTCCACGTCGTATATCCGGAAATAGTTGTGGTAAGACCCTGTCAGCACGTGCCTGGAAGAGAAGAATAAGATTAGCAATCTCGTAACGGATCGTGGTATGATGAGGAACATAGTAAATGACGTCGTGGAAGCCAATGAACAAAGAAGCCCACAATCATAGGAGGATAGCCAAAAACTGGTGCGAATTTACTTACTTGTCATCCCCACCCCAGACGCACTCGAACTTGTCGAAGATGCAATCGTTCTCATAAAGGTCACAAAGCTTGCCGCGGAGGTGGTCGTGGATTGGAATCGTCTTGATGGGTCGCGACTCCATGTTAATGTCCCAGATCTTCAGCGATAGATAGTCACGAGATAGGATGTATCGTCCGTCATGACTGAACTTCACATCCGATATCGAGGAGATGATTTCTGAGAAGAACGAGCGGGTCGTGGGATCTTCCTCCTCTTCGAAGCCTACATCAAGAAATGAAGATCCGGCTCGCGCACAGAATAGATAAGCACCCACATTTGGCGTGCCTATCGCACAGCGCAGAGTCGCGCATGTCGGCCAACTTGATGTTACTCTTCGAACTAGAGTACATAAAGAGGTTGCACTGCGTCGGATGGAACTCTGTCGCCGTGATGACCTCCGTGAGCTCCTCCATATTCACTGGCTTGATATCGACGATGTCTAATGAGGTTCAAACCGAAACGTGATTAGTCATCGGAGTAAGCAGTGTCATCTAAGCAAGCGTGCACTGACTGAAACTCTGGTCGCTGATATTGAGGTTCCAAAGGTTGATTCGTAAATCGTCCGCCGAAATGTATGTTTCTTGATCTGAGTTGACAGAGATAGAGTGGATATGGTAGGCGTGGGCGTTAGAGTAGACTTTGCGAGGCACTGCAGCAATAATATTGTCTTGCTGTGTCATGCGAGGCAACTTCAGATGACTTGGTGAAGCAGGTGTTGGTAGCGGGCGAGCGCCGTCGAAGTGGTTTGATTCTGACACGACTTTTAATGACTTCTCAAATACTTTCCATAGCTTTATTGTTTTGTCTATGAGAGGCGATGGTCAGAGCAAGGTCAACGGAAAAACATAGGTGGCATAGATACCGTTCGTTGACAGCAGGAAATGCGCAGCATTTTGCCGTTTGCACCACTTGATCTTGTTAATCTTCTCTTCGATTTCGAGCGATTTCAGATAATCGAACTCGGGTTCGTGCGATTGGAACTCTGTGTAGAACTTGTATTCACATCCTTTTTTCTGGAGGAGTCAACTGTGAGCTCAACGTCCTCCAGTGAGCATCACGGACAAAAGTTCCAGAAGGGTCCTTTTGTCTCGTAGACTGCACGCAGATACGGCATGTGTGGGCAGATGGGGAGGCAACGAACCATTTCATTGCGCTCGAACAGCACGACACGACCTCCCTTGTCTCCAGTGGCGAGATAGTTCCCTGTCGAGTCGTATTCGACGGTAGATATGATGTCGGCTACGGTCACAAGGCAGCATTAATTAGCAAGCAGTCATATGAGGGCCGAGACGCCACGGTGAAGCCGATTTGGCGCAGAGGTTAAATAGAAAGCGCTCACCCTCGGTAATGTCCTCGACCTCGCCCTTGTCACCGAAGCATTGGGCAAACCGCCAGCCGCCAGAGCCTGAGGGGTCTTCCATGGATCTCGGATAAGTGCTAGGTGGTGTCACGGGGGAACGGTGTTTCGACGTTGATTACTACGATGCGGGGCTGTTGAATCGCTGAGTCGCGTTCGATTGTGGGTTTGGACGCGGCGGACGACGGAGGAGAGGCGATGGAGACGAGCTGAAGAGCGTTGGGTGCCAAGATTGGGTGAGGCGTGTGGAATGCGAGGACAACACCTGCCCGTGACGACGTGACGGAGCTGACTAAGCAGCCTGTTTGCCATCGCTGATGCCAACCCGACATTTCCCAATACCACCACCACCACCACCACCATGCCCATCGCGCCTATTACTGGAAAACTCAGAAAGCGTTTCTGGCTTGACGTCGGCTCTGCTCTCGGACTCGGAATCTCAGGAGGATATGCCTGGTGGTGAGTGCGCTTCTACTCTAGTTGTTGTTGGAGACTCAGCCATTTTTGCAGGTATGGCGTTCACCTTAAGAGCCGTGAGTCGTAGTTCTGCGCAGCGCGTCAGATGCTCGTTACATTCTCCTGACGTATATCACAGTGGAACGCCAGGAGAACTTCTACCTTAAACTTGAGCAGGAGAAAGCCAAGTCTTCGTAAACACAAGTTGCTCGAGGAGGACGACCATCCCGCCTGCGAATCGCCCCGTCGCCGTAGAGTTCTAGACCAATCCAGATCAAAGGGTCCTGTGTTGTTGTAACTATTCGGCGCATGCATTAATTTTCGTCAATTCAACGATCGTTCTACACTACGTGATATAATCCAAATCATAAGGCTAGCAGGAAGAATAAATTACATGTGGAAGTTGTCCCTATCGGCGAAGCAAACCTAATCGTTTCAATTCTTCACAGCTCTCTATTACCTCGCTCTCGATCTTCCTAACCTTCTCCCAGTCAGTCCCGATACCGAATATACCCATCTCTGCTTCCTTCGCTCGTTCTTTTCGGTCCACGCCACGCTGACATTGCGCGTACAGGTCTTGTGTGTAGACCCGGTCGACTGAGTCTTCGAACTTCGTGAGAGCTGGCCCGCGTTGCTTGCCCTTTCCCCGAACCACTGTTCGTGTCTGAGGTTTGGAGCCCAAAGGCTGTTGTCCGTCTGCTTTTCCTTCATCTTTGGTTATAGGCTCCTCGACCACTCGCCCAACTTTGACCCCCTCTTTGGCTAATTCCGCACCAATGACAGGATGATTGGAGAGTTCCGCTTGGTTTACGAAGTAGTGGACGCCCAAGCCTCCCGTCTCCATTTCGGTGCTATACTTCGAGGTGGCCATGAAAGCAAACCGGGGGTCGGGTGCCGGTGGTGTTGAAAATAAACTGGGGAGGGAGGATAGGAAGGAGAAGGCGAACAAGAGGAGTAAGGGTAGAAGTTGGACAAGGAGGGAGCGAGGTTCGACCTCTGCATTGCCGCCGCCACCACCACCACCAGGACGGCGTGTAAACGTTTGTGTTCGAAACCCATTGCCACCAAAAGTGAAGACAGCTGGTAACACATTGTTATTTCAGGGGATGAAGATGAATGATTAGTTAGACGCACTTGGGCCACCTCCAAAGTTCGCTGCAAAGCCGGGCCCAAATGGAGTGCCTCCGCCGCCACCACCGCCAAAGAACATGTTAAATAGATCCTCTGGACTGAGTTCCCCATCGAATCTGGCACCATTCCCGAACGAACTCGCAGAGAATGGAGACGACGACGACGACATTCCACTGAATCTGTTCTCTGGGTCAGAACCGCTATCATACACTGCCCGTTTTTGAGGATCTGCCAGAGGTACGTGAATTGCGGCGAAGTAACATCTTTGATGCACGCATACCTGAGAGCACTTGAAAGGCTTTGGAGACCACTACACATGAAAGGCAACCACAGTTGAGGACGTTCGATGTATTTCAATGGGGAGGACTCACATTTGAAAGCCTCGTCAGCACCTGGCGCACCGTTTTTATCGGGATGCAAGGCCAACGCTAACTATTCAATCAGGGTGGGTTATTCAGATGGACTAGAAACAATAAGTATGCCACGAACCTTGCGATAGGCCTTCTTAATCTCCGCCTCCTCGCAGTCTTTCTTGACGGCCAAAATCTCATAATATTCCGTCAATTTACATGACCGCACTCGCTTGACCACCGACTCCTGCTCCACCGTATACTCCCTCTTCTCACCACCCAATCCACCTGCCGTTCCATTGGCACTCCCATTCGCCTTGGACTGCGTATGCCGATGCTTCATACCCGCCGCGGACGGGTGCTCTTCAGTTTGGGACCTCGAGGAGCCTGACGGTACATCATCTTCTTTCTTCTCTGAGGAAGGGGAGGCTGCCTTATTGATCGCCGCAAGGAGCTTGACGGCCTGCGGCGTCTCAAAGAGCGCGATGGATTTCAGGCAGAACTTGCGTGCCGAGGGAAGGTTGTCCAAATCGAAGTGCTTTTGAGCGATGCCCAGGCAGCGCACGGCTTCGTCTTTGTTTCCTTCCATATCGTTTGTGGCACTGGCCCGTAGGGTATAGGAGAACCGAGCCCAAGCTCGGGAGACAAGTGCACCTGGGAAGATAGAGATGTGACGGGTGGTAGGACGTGGAGAGCCAAGAATCAAGGTCGACATTATTTAATCAATTAAATTGCCTTTTCCAGTGGTTTTATTCCCAGGCCTGGGTTAGCAGATAACGGAAGCAACTGACGCAACCAGTCATCGTTTCTTGCTTCTTCCTTTATGGTCTCATCGCCCCCGAAAGCAGCAGCTAAACCCCCAGAGGACGAACAAGAGTCTGCAGAGCTCTTAAAGTTCCGACAAGAATGGCTTGCCGAACTCCAGAGGCGCAAGGCCGAGCAGAGTAGTAGTAGTAGGAGCACGACCACGACAACCGTTCAAGCTGCCTCAAGCTCGAGCAATGCTCCTAATCTGGTCAAACCACAGTTTGAACCTCTTGCAAGTACTACGTATTCTCGACGCACGTCTACGGCCCCAGCCTACGAGGCACCTTCTCTGCCAGCAAAACATCCAGCATTGATAAGCGGTCAGATCACGTACCAGTACCTTGTGCTCCAGAATGCACTTGGTTTCTACCATCGTGCGATCGAGCACGAACAGAAGGGTGAACTGGATGAAGCTCTTAACCTCTACAGACAAGCTTTCCGTCTGGTATGACTCACCTCACCTTGCATGGTTCCGGTACCAGCTTAAACCAGGTCTCTTTCATTACTAGGACGACAATGTCGATCGCGCGTATCGTCGTGAGCAGATGCTCCATTCTATCCTCAACGAACAGCACGCTGCCCACAAAACACCGGACTCAGCACCTGAACGAGGCGAAGACTTGTCTGCGAGCTTCGAGAGTGCCGTGACAATCACACCAGCGAGAAAGACGGCGAAGGTTACAGACACACTGGCCAACCTCATCCACCACTTCCCTCACAACCTGAAGTTCCAACCCGAAAGTGAGGACGAGCCTGTGTTCCTTAATATTCTTCCCGAGGAACTACTGGTTGTCATCATCAGCAACCTGGATGCTACGTCGGTGGAAAGGTTTGGCAGTGTGAGCAAGAAGGCGAGGATGATGACACTAGATCCTGGTATCTGGAGGTAAGCTCATCACCCGTTACACCATGGTGCATTGACGATATTCAACTCTTCTTTAGACACTTCGTTCGTGTGACCTACAAATACCCTCAAGTTCTAGACCAAGAAACCATGGTCGATGTCGTAGAACGCTTCCTGTTCGATTACAGACGCATTTACATCGAGCAGCCAAGAATCCGCTTGGACGGCGTGTACATCGCGATTTGTCATTACGTGTTCGTCTCATTTTACTCCGTCTTTCGCCTCTGGATTCTGGATTAATCGTGATGAATAGACGGCCCGGTCTAAGCGAAAACTCGTGGGTCAACGTACGATACCTCAGGCAATTCTTCTATCGTATTTCTCAATCTTGTGTCTACAGATAAGCCATCTCATCACCTACCACCGCTACCTGTACGTACTCCCTCTCCCGCATTTTCTTGACAGAAGCAAATTAACTGACCGCGTCCTTGATGCAAACAGGCGGTTTTTCCCGAATGGCCAAGTTCTTTCGCTCCTTGCAAACGAGGAGAACAGCCCACAGCAAGTTATCCCACTTCTGAAGCCCACGCTTCGGATGAAGGGCCTATTCATTGGTCACTGGAAGCTCATAGGAATGACCGTTCACCTCTCTAGCCTCTTCGATGCCAGTGGGCGGTTCGCTCTTCCCTCGCTTGACGGTATCGACGGCACCTACCCTGTCATCACACGCATTCCAGCCCCAGAGCCGCCCCCCGCAACGCTTGCACATTCTCATGGCCACGGGTATGGACAAGCTCATGGGAACTCTGCGCAACTCGATCGCGCCCGCTACGTCTTCGACATGACCCTCAACCTGCGCTCGAAGCCGCTAGGCCGGTGGAACAGGATGGACATCCTGACGTATGACTCGGTGCACGTCGAGTCTGGCGATATCCAGCCTGTTGCGTTGAAGCATGAGCGTCCGTTCTGGTTCTCCAAGGTCCGGTCCTACGCTTAGAGTAAGCAGCGGCTCAGATCCATGACTTGATTGATAGTTACGGTGTTCCATTCTGCCAGGAAGGGTTGCTTTGAGGGGAGAAATTAGATTTATAACTGACTACGTAGGATCGTTACAGTAAGTGTGTGGCATAACGATTGCAAAGCGGAAATATCGTTGCAATTGGCTAGATCGTGTATGTGTGGTTGAAATCGAAACCGAGGGGAATGCGATGAGAAGTAGCAGGTATGAATCCAGATAACAGTTGCATATGCAAGGCATGAGATGTTCCTCAACTCCGCCCCGATATGAGGACGAGTTCATCAAAGCTGACGGCGAATTTAGTATGCGACATATGCGACACAAAGAAGAGGGAAGCCGGCGTATAGCCCAAGCCAGAAGACGACATTCCCCATGAGCTTGTTCCGCCTGATGGCGGGTAGGCGACCGAGCATGATCAGCGGTATTTGGATGATCTGCATGATAAGCAGATGCATGATGAGTCAAAGACCACACGAAGAGGAACAAGCCTACTTGAAGGGTGAACAGATACATCCTAAGTAGCACCGATGAAGTCAATTGGGACCTCTTCAGAAAAAAAAACTAAGGAGAGCCTGCTCACCTCAGCTTCTGCGTAACGACCACCATCACGAGCTCATGCGCACACGCACTGAGGAGGAACGTGACGAACATGGCCGACGTCTTCGAGAGGCGGTAGCTCAGAATTGTCGCCGCGTAGACGTGACGCAGCAGGAACGCGTGCACGGGCCGGTTCCACTTGCGCGAGAACTCGTCCCAGGAGGTCGAATTCCACCAGTCTTCGTAGAATTGCCGATCCGCGAAGCTACGAGTCACAGGTGTGGAATAGCGGGGAGCGGAAGGGCGGTTAGAGGAAGAGGAAGGACGGAAGGAAATGGAAGGGCACTGACTAAGAGAGTTCGGCAAAGGCGTTGCAGATGCATTCTAAACGCGCGGAGAAGCCATAAGCAGATATTTGGAAGAGGGTGATAGGGGATAACGCACCAAAAATGATGTAGAAGAGGAGGATGTAGGCCATCATGAACGGCAGCGCTAGGTCTAGCAGCGACCGCAGGAAGGACTGGTCGGCGGTCGGCGTGTATGGGAGGATAAAGCTCTCCGTGACAGTGTACAGGAGCGCGAATGTCCCGAAAGTCGCCACCTGTGCACGGTCTTCAAGTCATTGACCGCCCTTAACCTGTAGCTATTGTCTGAGGAAAGCACGAACAGTTTTCTCAAATAGGTAGAGGGGCCGTATCCTGCAAACCTCGGTTAGAGTCCTCTAGATGCAGAATAAAGGATCGAAGGGGTTATACCTACCGGTCAGTCCTAGGATATTCCAGCTCATAGACGAGCGACGGGATGAGCTGATACACCGCAAAGTTCTTCCAGGTGATCGTCTCCGGCCAGCGCACGTACAGGGGCCCATCGCTGGCCAGCTCACTCTCCAACTCGGAGTAGTCTCTCGCCATCGCGGAAATCTGCTCATCGGGGTGGTAAACAAGAGGATGTGGGCCGAGGTCCGGACGGTCCTCATCCTCTCCGACCATGAACCTGCTTCCAGTTGGCTCTGGGCCGTCTTTTGACGTGGATTTATGCAATGACTTCACACCGTGAACGTCGTCGCTCGCTCGCGCATGCGTGCTTTTAGGTGTGAAATAGTCGTTGCTCGATTCTTTCGAGATCGCAGTAAGTCTTTTTCGCAGCGCAGTAGCCGTGTTGATATCTACAGCGGATGTAGACAGCCCTTCGGGCACTTTTGGTGTGCCAATGGGCGTTGGTTCGTGCGATGCCGCACCGTTTGGCGGTGAAGGCTGAGATGAGTTGTTTAGGTTCTGCACTTCGAGTTCCGCCTGCTTCATCTGCGCGACACTCATCGCCTTCTCCCATCCTCCGACTGATTCAGTAGCCTTCTGCATGCAGGTCATAAGGTCCTTAGCTTGCTTCTGCACGCCTTGCAATTGACCGTTGACCGTGATGTACGAGTGCATTTTCATGACCATAACCTAAATGCAATAGATCAGAGATGGCGCGATAGTAGATACAATCTTAAACACACGAGTGAATGTAGAGTCAAAAAGCCTGATTGAACCCACGGCCAATTTCTATGTATCGAACAGGGGTCAATGAGCATGTGTAGCGCAGAGAGAAAGAGATGGTGAGGCACCTATTGAACGTCCAGCAGATAGCACCGAATAGAATAGTTGTTTGAAGAAGGTGTTGAAAAATCACTCCGGTCCAGTTATAACGTATCCATCCGTTCTTCAAGGCCTTCGCAAAGGGGACACAGATACCCGTGCTGAGTACCAGGAAAGCGTCACTCAGGGCAAGCGTAATCGCGTCTTGCGAGAACATGGTCGCAAAATGCAGGTTGAGAGGACGACCGCTGGCCTCAATGCTGCGAACATAGGTCTGAATGGTGAATATGAATATCGATATCCAGAACAGCGAGAAAAAGCCCTAAAAGGAGGGCATATTAGCTTCATGACGGTGATGGGAGATGATCAGGGAATATAAAGCGCACTCGGAATTCATTTGTGACGGAGTTCTCGTTGTTGATGTCAAAAGCGGACTTGCGGGGGACGAATGTTATGAGCGCTCTGAGCTTCTTGGAGGTCTTTGAGCGGTAGGGCTTTGACACGTAGAGAGTGCCATTGGAGGTCTCGAAGCCGCCGCTGGCCTTGTAGTCTGCAGACGGGCGCGTCTGCTCTGGACCCATAGTCGAAGAATGGAAGATTGGGGGAATGAAGGTAATGAAGGAAGATAGTGGAGGCTAAACGGAAGACATACGCTGATAGCTATGTCGAGGAGCCGTCATCATCGTCGATAATGTCATTACGTCATGCCGACGCTTACCAGCAACTCACACGAGCACGCCAGAAAAGGAAGGCTGCCTTTACCGACGGCCGCCACAACCCCCGCGCCGTCAGAGTCGCCCTTGGCAGGGTGCTCCCGCTCTGCTCCTTATCAGCTCACGCAAGCCTCTCGGACAATCACGTCAGCGATGATCAACACTCGGAAGGTGACGGGTGACCACCTTTCACCCGAGGCCGGCTACTCGGATTGTCGGAATTTGGGGACGCGTCAAAATTTTGACTCCGAGCAAACAGATTCAGCGTGTCACCATGCGATGCCATAATCACCTCAGAACTTACCGTTCCAGGCATTCCTGCTGGCTGTCTTAACCTTCACCCGAATCACCACGAGCAGTGCTCGCTTCCCTCTTCCTTCCCCCCAACCATGACCGTCGCTCAGGAATCACGGTTTTGCTCCGAGCTCTACGACTGCATCATCGACTTCCTCCACGACGACGAGGCTGGTCTCAAGACGTGCGCCCTCGTGTGCCGCGAGTGGTTACCTACCAGCAGACTCCACCTTTTCAATCGCCTCATTCTCACAGGCAGCCCCGCGGCCAGTACCAGATCATGGGCGCCGAATACCCCGTCTCGCCGCCTATTTGCGGCCCTCAGCGCGTCCCCACACCTCGCGCCCTATGTGAACAAGCTATCGGTCCACGAGTCGGCTGTATCGCGACCATCGACTTATCGATGGGCCAGCGCAGAAATAACTTTTCCACCGCTCTTGAAGAAACTCACAGCGCTCAAGGAGCTCGAATTCACCTTCCCAGCACCAGGGCCTTCCGACGCGAAGATTGTATGGTCGACGATGGTTTTCAAGGATATCAGCGACGCCATGTCCTCGTCGACTCTTGAATCTCTCACCATCCGACATTTCTCCTTCAGCACCCTCGCGGACTTCGTCAAGATCCTCTATTCATGCCGCCACCTCAAAACGCTTCACTTCGACAACGTAGATATCTCCACCGCCACTAACCTCTCTACCTCCGCCCTAGAGCATGTTCTTAATCTCCAGCACACTAATACTCTATCACCGGCCATAGAAAGGAAAGCTCCCCTTGATACCTTGCTACTCCGGTCCAGCAACCTATCGCTATTCATCCCAATCCTACTACACACGCGCTCCCCACTAGACCTTTCCGACCTTCGTTCCCTTATAATTAACATCACACCGGACAACTATCTCAATGTTCTTGACCTTCTTCGACACATGCCGGACTTAGAATCTCTGCAAATAGAAATAGACCCTTCCTGTAAGCCCCCTGAATTGCTTCCCAGATCCTGAAATACTAACCTCCCGTTCTTCCTTCCGTTTTCCCACCTTCTCCGTCCCTGACGCTGTTCCTTCCTTCCAGTCGACTACGAAACACATGTAGAACGCAGAGACATCATCGATCTGCACTTTCTCCCGTCTCTCACCGCCCTTTCCCTCCGAGTGAGCCTTCTCCTGGGCCGTGTCGACCCCCTCCCCTGGCTGTACACCCTCTTCTCCTCTGCGCGTCCAGACAATCGTCTCGCCTCCGTCTCCCTCACCTGCGTCGTCGACAAGGCAGCTCCTGAAGTCACCATACACCAGATCAACGCAGCGTTCGCTGGGTGGAGAGACCTGGGTGACCTCCTCGTCCAGTCGTCGTTCGGTCCGCTGAAGAGGTTCCGCCTCGACCTCGCCCTGGACAGACCTGTTGGTGACGATACTATCGAGCAAGTGTCTCGTGATTTCGTGGAAGAGCTGGGAGGCTTAGCGAAGAAGGGGATCTTGGAGGTCGAGGTTTACGAAGCTCGATAATGTTGACAATTTTTGCTTTGACGTTTTAGAGAATGTATGTATGTTCGTTGTTAGATTGTCCTCCTATGTTGGGTACCTAGTGTCTACGATACTATAATATTCTGCTAAAGTTGCGCATCGATGGGCTGCGGTACCGCTCGCGGAACATCATGGCCAGCACGCAAGAGTACACTGGAAGGATGCTGTGGCACTCGTCCATTGTCTTCTCCAAGTCCTGATTTGGGAATTGACCTACCAAAAATGTTCAACCCCCCTCCCCCCCAAAAAAAAGGACGCTCGCATTGATATGTCGAGGAGTCAGAGCCCACGCAGATGGACAGGTGCAACAGATAAATAATTGGCCTCCTCGACCTAAATTTGCTTTGCTTGTGGCCTGATGTTTTCTGGCAGTTAACCTTTGCTTTGTGGAACTTTCGCATGCGCCGTCTCGTCGTCGAAATTTGGGTGTGTTTCGATCTCTTTGATCACTCGTAGGCTCACACTTCCTGAACTCATCCTTATCTAAGGACGCGTCAATTACTTGAACTAGGGAAATGTCGATGAAATCAGCAACGGGTCCTGCAAACAAGCTGGTAGCGCCAGAAACAGACTCTCTGATATACTCCGTGCTGAGAGCGGTTGTTAAACTCGCCATCGACTACGTTGAAGCGCAGGATTCGGAGCAATAGGATGGCAATTAGATGAAGAGGGCGAGGGTGAGGTTAAACTGGAAGTAGTGATCTTTATATTTGAACCGATATGCAAGCAGTGTGAACTGGATACGTCGATTCGTGACTACTAGGGGCATAGCTATTAGACTGTCTGCTCCTCAGAATAAGTGACTTACAATGGCCGAAAGCCGAAACTCACACCTCAGGTTTTTTACTTCGCTCCTGCAAGCCGGGAAATTTGCTCTCTAACATCAGGGCCATCCACTTGTTGTGAGAACGTTCTGTGAATATATTGAAGACGTTCGGTGTTCTTGAAGAAATATCGATCTCCCAAAGGTTGTAGCTCAGAGTCGACAACTTCAGTGAATGAGTCTGATCAGAGCGTCAGAGACGAAGCAATCATTGCCAGGTGATATAGGAGTCGCAAGGCTGGAAGGTGCGGGAGATGGATGAACAGTCAACTGTTGGAATGCGATTAAATAATTTCTTTTCGTATTGCTGGACTAAAGTCTAAGGACATCGAACAAAAGGATGAAAAACCTTATCAAGAGGCTAAAAGTTACGGACGTAGCTGGTGTGTTCGACCCGTTCAAAGCATCATCCCGTGGACAAGAAAAGAAGGTAGACGTTCTGCAGGGTTTATACTTAACTTTGTTCTGGCCGCGTTGTTTAACGTCATGCACGTGGAGACATCAGGTGCAAGACGTAGATATACGCGGCGGTGGAGCCCAATAGTCTTGTAGACGCAAAGATTGTTGTAAGTAGATGGGACAAGAGGGTGTATCGACTCCTTGCTTGTGCAGCGTCTGGAATTCGTCCTCAACAACCTCCCGGGTGAAGGGTCAGTATGGCAAGACGAGAGGCATAGGAGGAGTTTGAAGCGCGTTTCATTTAGAGAAAATGGATCGTTGGCGAGAAATTATCCGAGATAGACGTTATAACTCGTAAGTGGATAAGAAAAACGCTCATAGGTTGCGATTTGGGTTCGGAGGCATTATTGACCAATGTTATGCTCAGTGGTCGACGACTTGGCTACGGTCACGACCAAGTCACGACGTAGTGTCACCAAAATCTGCGCCTTGAATTCCGCCCTACGGCGCGGTCGCGCGAATCCCTCCACTCAAGAGCCTCTGCCACACCCAAAATGTCACGGAGAGTCGCAGCAGACGGCTATTCCCTTCCCGCAAACCCACACTATCTCGATTTTCCCCGGACTGATGGATCAGAAGCAACCTGGCCTTCATTGACCAATCGCGAGGTCGACGCTGAAGGCCATGTGAACTACTACGAATGCCTTGAGGAAGACCACTCGCAGCATATACGGTGGAGGACCATGGTTGGGGATGCTGTGGCGAAGAAGTTGGGTCTGCCTGGTAAGCGCTGGATGCCGCCTCGGTACTGAGCTATAGCTCATTGCCTATCGATCTTTTTGATTTCAGAGGGCCCGAATTATGTTTTGAGATCGTTTCCTGCGGAGTATCGCTTGTACGACCATAACAAAGGTCCTGCAAAGTCACCTCGACATGACTTATATCTTTTTGGTGGGTTCTCTACGCTTCTTCCAATCTGTCCAGCCTCAACTTATATCCTACCTCACATAGGTCCCTTCAAGAAGCGCTTTCGCTCAGTATTCGAGTTTGTCCCTCATGCCATCTGGCTAATGGACGGCTCAACTGACTGCATATGCAAATACTGCTCGAAAAAGGCGCAACGCGAAATAACAACATCCATGAGCACCAGCGGGATCATCCCGGTCCGTGCGACGCCCGTCGGTCAATCGCCTACACCTTCCCGCGTTAAGGCTATACGAGACAAGGGCAAGGGCCGCGAACCGCTCTCCCGACCAAATCCTCGCGAAACGAAGACATACGTTGCCGTTCAGCGAATTGCGAAGCCCTCGATCGTGTCAGAGGGGGTGCTGAGGACGCCAATGCTGGTAGAGCGGAATAACGACCTGCGTGCCATTTACTCCAAGACATCGATGGAATTGAGACGGTGGTTTAGGGAAGGAGAGGTGGTGTGGTGTGCACTGGAGGCACCGATCACTGGGCCGCAACAGGATGCTGCGTGCATTCGGTTTTGGCCAGCTGTTGTTGACGAGGTGAAGCTGAAGACGGAGCCCATACCACGACAAGCGGCGAATGGACACGCACGGAGCAGCTCGTCGCAGCCGCATTTACCCCAAGCGGGCTCGTCAGCTATGCAGGTCGACCCTTCCTCTTCTTCAATAGGTACCGAGAAGGGTCCTATGCTCGAGAGCGCAGAAGAACCTCTACCCTGGACAATTCGTCAGTCAACCCAATACAAAGTCCAACTACTCGCTGTGTCCCATTGCTATACCATCCCCGACGACCAGGTGCTCCCATACCAGGCCTATATGCCCAGCGATGACCTCATTCGCCTCATGCTCACCTACCCACCCGAAAGACTCACTCTTGACAAGGAATCACTATCTAGTTTCAACCCATACCCTGGGCCGACGCCGCCCACCCTTTTTGAAGCGGTTCCACCATATGCGCTAGCATTGCAGATCGCGTCTACGCTTTCTTCCTTTTGGTGTCTTACAGACGAGTATGAGCTGAACTATGCACTGCCGGGCACCCCTCATGAGAGCCCGAAACGCCCGCCACTGCCTTCAAGAGCACCATTGCCCTCTCGAATCCCAGCTCCTATTTCCGCCCCCTCGATGATGCCCTCAACACCACCAGCTACGTTCCAACAAGCTATGGAAATGGCCAATGGACATCCCGAATCTATTAGTTCAGGTCCATCCAACGCTTTCTATCGAAACGTCTATGGTGTCGACCCTTCTATGTCTCAAGCAACAGTCCAAAAAACGACGGAACGCGTCCTCGGCGTACCGCCGCCTCCGGATAACCTCTTGCAGAAGCGTTTTCAAGGGCTGTGGTGGGGTGCTGAGCGGATCTGGACTGACGATTTCATTCGGTTGAAAGTGCCACGGCGGACACTCGCACCTCAAGGGAGTGGTCAAATTCTGTCGCCGTCTGGACCCAGCAAGTCGGTTGCGGAGGAGTGGATTGGGCAAGGAGGGAGTCTAGCGGAGATGGGGGCTGGATCGAGAGGGGTGTTCTTGAGACTCGATGGGATTTTTGCTGTAGAGGTTCCCCAGGAACATGGGTCGTCGACGAAGGAGGCGAGGGTGTGTGGGATGCTGTATGAACTCGCAGACGAGGATTGGGAGGACCCGAATGCGCCAACACGGTTGGCACCATCCGACCAGGCGAATGAGTCGTCTGAGGATCCTGCCGACCCTGCTTCCAGTTCGCAAGTACCACCAAGCGCTTCTGCTGCAGTCAATGGCGGGTCGTCGGGGACACCAGGAGGCATCGTTCCGAACGGCGCAGGCGTCAACGGCTCATTGTCCAAAGACACCTTCCAGTACGCCCTCCCACAAGCACCAGTGGGATACAAATTCCGGCCGATCCTTAACCCAGGTTACGAGTTCGTCGGTGCGTTGGGTCTGATCAGCGGGCGGTACTACCCTCGCATTCTGGCGCACCCCAAACTTTTACCGATCGTCAAGGAAGCACTGTCTCACGAGCCGGGCGAGGGTGCTATCATTGGGTCGGATAATCTGTGGGCACTCGAGGGCCTTTCCGGCGGGTACTTCAACTCCGTCGACCCTCACCGCTACAAGCGGACGCGGGTTGCGATGATGCAGGATGCAGACCGGGAAGCGGTTCAGCAGCTGCAGACGTACGCCCAGGGTAAAATGGAGGAGGCTGTGAGAGCGCAGAATGGTCATGGTGGTGACGATGTGCCAGGGGGTGAACATGACGCGATGGATGTGGACGCGGACGATATTTACGCCTGAGTTTTATTGTGGACATTGTTATCGATGCTATCTATCATTGCAGTGTAATTTATACTTCTACATAAGTTGTGACTAGTGCCCGACCCTCTCCAGCTCTGTGGTTTAATCTCCTGAATGCATAACTGTCCCTGCTAATACGTAGTCATTTTGAACTGGCAGGACTCGATGTAAGGGGAGCCCAGATGCCAATATTAGCGGACAGAGTAGTGGCAGTCGAGAATGATTACTTTTTATGTCTGCTACCTATTTACCAATACAAACGGTGTTCAGGGATGCCCTCCCGTAAAAAATAACCCAGCCCTAAGTGGTTTTCGAGGCAGTATTCGTGCAACACACCCAGAAGTAACATGGCCCAGCAACCACCTCATACCTCACAGTATATCAGCCTACTCAGTATCATTCGATGCAGATTTTAATTCTGATTCCAACGCTGCAAATTTTATTGTAATTGGACGCGTATTTATGAAGATACGGGACGAATACTGTGCCAGCGCACCAGCGCCTGCCTCTTCCATCAAATCGACCAACCTGGGAAAAAAATCGGCCCGCGCCTTATGTTCTGCACTTAGCTGTAATGGGTACTCAGTATAAGTATGCGTGGTCGACTTCAAGTTGAAGAATTACTTTGGTGATCAAGTGACGGAGATTGTGACAAAGGGGTTCTCGCCACGCCGGTTGAACTCCGCCTTTTGGACTGGAGCCAATTCGTGAGATTCGTGTGAAGGCCATCTACTCCCCGCCAGGCTGCAGAGGAACCGTCGACGTCGTCAACAACCTCGTCGCCATTCGACGTACAACACGTAACTTCCTTGTCACGAATTTGGACCAGCACCACTGGCTTCGGCGGTTCCTCCAAGCCTTGTTCTCCCATTCGCGCTTATACTCAATCCTCTCCTTTTTCTTCTCTCTTATTTTCTTCTGAATTGCCACTAGCATGGGCTCGGTCAGCGTGGCATCGTCGCAAAGCTCAAATTACAGCTCGCCATCTCCATCATTATCCAGTCTCCCATACGTCCCGCCATCTCCAGCGTCGTTTTCGTCCACTCCTTCGGCGTCGTCCAAGGTCTCGTTCGATCTTGAGGATGAAGGTGCTGGCATTCTCGATGCCTGTCACTGACCCCTCTGACTTGTCTACGTTGCAGAGAATGTCACTATCACCGCCAACCGCTCGTTGTCCAAGAAGTTGGGGAAGCAGAAGAGTCTAGAGTGCGTTGCTGAGCTCTTACGTTGGTCTTTCATATCCTGACTTCCTGATAGCGACATACGACTATTGGCGATTTCCACCCACATGACAGAGCTCTCGTTCGCGATATCCGACATTCAGACGCGCATATTCGGTACCACTGCTCAAGATCTCCTTTCCGTGGCAGACGCTGATTCACTCCCCAGAAATTCAGGAACTCAGACACAAATCTCAATCGTCGGGCGATAATGGGGCGAATACTACGACTGTCATAGACCAGTCACTCATGACTCTCGACGAACGCCTGGAATCCGTCGAGAAAGGCATCAAGACTATAAATGAAACATTGGAACCCCTCTTGCAAGCTACTGCAACACCAACTGTCTCGGAAAACGGAACAGGAACGGCGAATGAGAATGCAGCGTTGCTCCGGAAGCATGCCACGCTGCTGTCAGAGTGGGAAGCGGTTCAGGACGAGAGCGAAGTGTTGAGGGAGGAGCTGAAGGAGGACAAATGGCTGACGGTATTCAGGACGGTGACGGACCAGGCAGACGGGATGATGTCGAGCCTGGAGAAGGCCGTCAACCGGTGCCAGGTGCGTTGTTGGCTTTCTCCGCGGGAGTGTCGTGCTGATGGGTTTCATAGGAGTTTATATGGCAAGTCCACAAACGAGGTGCTGATGACTTTCAATCCAATGCCGCTCGTGATAAGCAGCCTGTCTCGTTCGAGGTGTTTACTTCGCTTCTCGACTCGTATGAAGCAAAGAAAAAGTGCGTTTCGTATATTGAGCTCTTCCACTCGTTCTTATCTTCGTTAGACATTATATGCCCGCCACTTCCAAAGTTCTTTCTATCATTGATAAAGGGGTCCGAGACCGCGTCACGAAGAATGGGGAAACCCTACGAAGACACGCAGAATCGGCGCAGCGGTGGAAGAACCTTCGAGAGCGGATAACACGTACGGACACCGAGCTGCACAACGTGCGAAAGGTGCTGCTAAGTGGCGATGGTTCGTCTGATCACGAATCAACGACGTCAGGAACAGCCTCGACGAAGAATGGACATCTCGCCACCCCCCCAAGCGGTTCAAGAGCCTCGAGATTATCAAGCTCAGCTAGCAGCAGCATTTCGGGGTCGATTTCACCGTTCAGGAAGTTCGCCCGAAAGATAACGGGCTCGACCAAGGGTAATCCATCGTCGACACCTGTGCCACCTCTCTCCGTCAGCAAGAAGAACCAGCCTCTTCAGGATGCACCAACGGTGTCGAGCCGTCGCTCGAGGGCGTCGCTCTTCAGCTCTATGCGCGGACACGTGCCAACGACGCCTTTAACGCCTGCAACGCCTGAACGCGAACGAATCGGGCACAAGTACAGTCAGAGCTATACTCCTGATTCTTCGCCTCGAGGACCGCAAGTCGAGAAGGCTGACATCCACGCGACAGTTCGCTCGAACGCGCCCTCGAAGCAGCCATGGAATAGCTCCACGAGAATCGCTCTAGATGATAAGGCAAAGCCATCGTCCTCTATACGGAGACCACCTTCAGCAAGTGGGAACTACGCTTCGTATTACAACGACATCCCACCTGTGCCACCCATCGGGACTCCATACCGGAGAAGCACATCAAGAGCATCGATGGCATCCTCGCGACCTTGGTCACCCGTCACTTCCTCCATTTCGACGACGTATTCCTCATCTTATTTCAATAATACGCCTCTACCACTACCTACCCTGCGAACACCGTCACGCGCACAGACGCCATCGCGTGCGACTACTCCTGCGCTAGCGGCAACACCGCGCTCGCGACCCAAGACACCTAGTCATATCCCCGGGCCGGCGAAGAACCTGCGGTCAATATCCGGGGCGCACTCTGTTGGCGGATGGGACGACGAAGACGCCTTCTCGCGCTCAGGTTCGCCGGCATTCTCAACGTCGGCGCTGAGCCAAACTTCGCCGTCCTCTGTCCACCTGCACCCGCGACCGCCTAGCAGATCGATGATCCCAGTCCCAAGCCTGCATTTGTATACACCGTCGCGACCGGGCACGTCAATGTCGAACTTTAGCAGGTCGGAGAGCCCGATGATGCGTGGAGTGGGCACGTTCAGAGGGAACGCGTTACGCGCACAGACGCCTGAGTATGCCCTTCGCGCACGGGCGCAGCTTGTGCCTGTGTTCCAGGGCCCTGGGTCGACAGCGACGACGCCGTCGAAGGGGCAGGGCCGTCCGTCGATCTCGACGACAGCGAAGCTCCCACCATCGAGCTTCCGTGAGGGACCTCCGAGCGCTCGCACGCCGTCGCGCCCTGGGTCACGTACAGGCGCATGCACGCCCTCAATGGACGCCAACGGAAGCCTGCCACTGCATGAGTACATCCCGGCCAGCAACTACGATCCCCTCGATGTTGAGGTGGCGTCGGTATGCAATTCCCTTGCGCACGGGCTGCTGGTTGAGCGCGTCGACCCCCCACTAAAGAGGAACCAGATTCCGAAGGAGGGCGAGGAGGTACGCGCGCAGTACGCGTTCTCGAATTCCCTGAGCAGGAAGGTGGTGACGTGCCGCTTGACAACGATGGTGAGAAGTGCAAGGGCGGGCGGAGAAGGCGTGACGAAGAAGGTAATGTGTCGAGTTGGTGGAGGTGCGTTTTTAATGTCATTCTTGTGGCTGGGGTGCTGAATGTTTTTCTATTGGCCTTTTTTAGGGTGGCAGGACCTCAGTCATTATATACTCAACCGTCAGGCAGGGCTATAAGCAGGGTACCTGAGGAAACCATCAGACATGCCGGCTGCTCCAGCCATGGATTTAACGCATGTCCCCAACTCCACCCTCTTCATCCTGCATCAACGCCCAATGTTGCCCACCGTACGCGCATTCTTTCTTCTGCATGCATTATATTTTTTATCCACAGCAGTCGGTCCTTCTCACCAGTTGTAACCCCCTCACTCCTTCCACGCTCCATTTCCTTTTTTCCCAACGCTGCGCCCTTTGTCACCATTACCGCATACCCCTACCGTAAGATCCTGTCCTAACTCCGCCCAGACCTTCCCCCTACTTCCTTCACGCCCGCACGCATCCCTTAGGCCGCCCTGTCGCATTGAACATATTTACCTCCCCGCGTGCAAGATTGTAAAGTCGATTTGTCAAATCACACGTATCGTGGTAGCGCCTGCCGTCGACACCACCACTTCAATTATAATCACAATACTCTGCACTGTTGTCGTCATCGCTATGTCCTTTTCTTTAGCTAGTTGTTGCGTTCAATCAATACATCAAATCGTCATGTCGCCTACGTGTCGCTGTTCGGACGTTTGCTATGGGTGATGGAAGGACTATGCAACTGGTTCAAAATACTACCACGGCGGCACCTTCTCTCCCACTGTTGCAGACGATCCACTTTAGAATAAGCACACATATCCGTTCGCCAACCATCGACGGTATTGCTTGACCTTGCGTTCCCCGAAATAATTAGTTCTCGCTCGCGTGGCTGCGTGGCCGACGGGCACGTACAGCTAACCCGTGGCCGTTGAAAATCAGTCTAGTACGGTTAATCCCCGAGCCCTGCTCGTTCGTCTATATAGTTCCCAGCCGAAATCACTCACCTGTTGTCCTTGAATAGGAATGTAATTGAACCTGCGACGGCATCAAGCCGCTCGAAGATATCTCGGAGGATTTCGCCCTATTCTTCGATGGAGCGTGTCGTAAATCCTATGAATTGTTTCAAGCTTATTCCCAAGCTGTTGGAAGTATCCTCGGGATTAGCTCGGATTTACGATTGATATAAGGTGAATCCCGCGAGACACATGGCCCAAATAGTTGCGTCCTAAAGCATCATGTTCTCTGCTGCTCATTTAACCGGTTTCCTCGTGCTGGTCATCACCTCCGCGGGTGCTGTTCCTATATGGGGTCAATGTGAGTGCATGTCGCCACACCAGCCTTTTCTGGCACTTAGTCCGAACGCAGGTGGCGGTATGGGTTATTCAGGCTCGACTCAGTGCGACTCTGGGCTGAGCTGCGTCAAGCTTAACGACTGTTAGCTCGAGATTCCTCCTCATTTGCAGAACCTGACGCAGAGACGCAGGGTATTCGCAATGCCAAACCTCGACTACTACTATTGCGGCACCCCCACCCCCTCCTGTAACAACTACTGCCGCGCCTCCCCCTCCTCCGGCCACAACTGCTAGTAGCACTAATACTGCTACTGCGACGAACCCCGCTGCAACGATACCAATTCCGACAGGTGCTCTAACAAGAATCACAGACTTCGGCACCAACCCTACGAACATTGGAATGTACGCCTATAAACCATCAAACGTTAAGGTAAGCCCAGGTCTTCTGGTTGCTTTGCATTATTGCGGCGGCACTGCGCAGGTGTGTGTCTTATGCAGTCTTCTAAGTGCAAGACACCTTCTAATATTTCTGAAGGCCTATTTCAGCGGCACTCAGTGGAGGACACTTGCCGACCAACGTGGCTACGTTTTGCTTTACGGGCAGGCACCGAGCAATGGGAACTGCTGGGACGTTACCTCGGCTGCCACGCTCACGCATGATGCCGGCGGCGATTCGCTGGGTATTGCATCGGCCGTCCGATACGCCATCGCCAACTGGGGGGTGGACCCGAGAAGGTCTTCGTCGTTGGCACGTCGTCCGGTGCGATGATGACCAACGTCCTCGCGGGCACCTATCCCGATTTATTCAAGGGTGGTGCAATATTCGCCGGCGTAGCCCTCGGCTGCCTTATCAGCAGCGCCCCGAGCTTCCCACCGGATCCGTGCGCCAACGGCCAGAAGATCCAAACTGCTCAACAATGGGGCGACCGTGCGCGCCAGGCGTATCCCGGTTATACAGGACCGTACCCTAGACTTCAAGTTTGGCATGGCACCGCTGACAATGTTGTCAACTACGCCAACTTCCAAGAGGAGCTTAAACAGTGGACGAACGTACACGGGGTCTCCCAAACGCCATCCGCGACGTACAACAACACCCCGAGACAGAGTTGGACGAAGACCGTGTATGGAACCGGCCAGGTTGAGGGATATTCTGGTCAGGGAGCTGGCCATCTCCTCCCTGACAGTGGTACGGAGGTGACCGCCATCGACTTTTTCGGCCTGTAATTTAAGCCTAGCAAGTTTTAACCTGTCTGTGGCGTTAGGAATCAGGATGACCTTTTTTTTTCCCGACACCTCTAACCGATGTAGCTTTCCTCTGCTGGCAATAAGGTCATCTGCGTGAGCTCATAGTTAGCTAAATTTGCAATCCACATTCCTGAACGACCATTATAAAATATGCAGTGTTGTATCTCCACCTAGAAACATACGCAAGACCACAAAGATGTGCTCTCGGGAGGACGCAGCCTGACAGTTCGTTCTTCGTCCCTCCTACGTTCCACTTTCTCCCACCATTCGCCCCTCATGCTGAACTTTAGGCTTGCATTAGGGAACAGCCGATCGATATATCGCGCCAGAACGATGCACAGCTCGAGGGAATAGATGTCCCAACCCGAGCCGTCTCCGACCCGAATTTCGAGCTCCCGTAGAGCGACGTGAGGATGAAGCCTCAGAAGATGTTGCTCCAGGACGGGAACATCAAATCGGCTCAAGCGGTCGAAAGATATGATGAGTGTTTTGAGCCTCGGGAAGCGTGCAGCCAGCAAATGCAGGGATGGTGATAGTTTGAGTTGGGGGCAATCGCCTTCGAGGCGGAAGACCTGGAGGTTTGGCCAAAACGGTGGATCTGCGTTGGTCCGATTAAAAAAATCGACGAGGTCCGCTTCAAGCTTTGAGACGCGAAAATTTAATGTCTTGAGGTGCGGGAATCCGGTTAGCACATCCAAGACCTTTGTGGTGAGTTCGCCCTGTACATGAGAGGGCAATCTATGCACTTCAGATATTCGAAGAGACGACCAGACCAGAGGAATCATGCCCTGAATGATTTCAAGTAGACAATCCTCCAGTGTACTCGTACTGACTCTAGACATCCGGAGCGAAAAGACCAGGCGTCGCAATTTATCACCGGGTCGCATATGTGGCAAGATAGTGGCTATCACATCAGCGTCTCCAGAGAGGAGAACCTGATCGAGCTCGAGGAATTGGACATATTTGCCAGCGAACTTCCTCACAGCGTTGGGGTTGGCACGACCTCCCGAACAGAACTCCAACAACAAGGAGTGTAACGAATTTTTCATCTGTGGAAAAAGGTTGAAAGGATAAAGGGCAATGCGAGATTGAGCCCTGAGAGCCCTGAGTTCGAGGTGGCGCAAACCCTTGAATCTGGAAAGCGGTTGAAGTGACACCTGGTGACAATGCCCAGATAGCACGATAGCGCGGGTGGACATGCTAGCAGATGGCATTGTCAGGTGCCTTTTGAGGAAAGCTGCTGGAATCCTAGTCTCATGGGCCTTCGATATCCCTTTGAAAACGATTTCGCTAAGGGACGGTGACGCAGTAAGGACAACAGCGGCCAGATATGCGTCGGAGATGTCCTCCGAAAGCTCGACATGAAGCCCTCTGAGAGCAGGGAAGAGGGGAGTCTGGCCAGCATGCATCGCAAGGAGAGGGATCACATCGTCGGAGACGTCCTCTTCGAAATTGCCGCCGAGTTTTAGCACTCTTGTTCTCCTGGTGTAAGAAAGGAGGCGCTCGAAGTGCTCCTCGAGAATGACTCCATCTCGGAATGTCTGACAAAATTTCTCTTTAATTGCACGACAGCGGAGCGATTGCACTCACATATTTTCCGTCAACTGATATAAAACCTGGCAGTTGTTTCAGAAACGGCATCAAGGAGTCCATATAGCGCCAGAGGATGGTCATTGCCGGGAAATAGAACGCCTTGCAGGCGAGGGATATGTTCAACAAGTCTTTAAGTGCCGACTTACGGGCCACCTGCGTCTCTTGGAACGTGTAAATTCTGAGCACCCTTGAATGCGGTGGGGCCATGGGATCTAGGAAATAGCGAAAGGAGCAAATGAGCTCCAACACGTCCTGGTCTTGCACAAGGTTTGCGGTCGAGGACAGCGGTGATTGCATTGTAAAGGAAGTTACGAGGGCGTCATCAAAGTTGTTGATACTGCGACCTGCATAAATTGTAGCTGTTTGAGGCCGAGTGGTAGGGCGTCCTGTCGCGTCCAGCACTTCCTCTGGAGATAGGGGCGTTGGTTGAGTTCTTCAGATGGGTTCCTATTTCGGATCTGTTGACATAAGCGCCCCTTTTCGCCGTACTGGCGCTGAGTCGCACCACCAATATGATGAGTCTGCCATTGGCATTCCAGCGTTCCTCCCGAGTGAGAGGACACAGAGAGTCACCAGGTAGTAAGTACAACGACGAGCTTAGAGCTTCTATATCTGACCAGGAGGACGCGCAGCTCCCGGGCCCCGATAGGTCATCGATCTGACAAAGAGCCACGCACAGAACGCGCAGATCCTCGAATACAGAAGAATCCCTCTCAGAGGTAAATTCAGGACCTGGCTTTTAATCGACGGGAGAAAAGGCTTTGGTGGTCTGCATGTACTTGATCCTCGTCGGCGATTGGGCGGCCGTCCCCTGTGCACCACCTCGAACGGCGATTGTGTGTTCTGCGCATCCAGGCTGAAAGTCCGGCGCTTCTGCCATCGCATTCCCAAGGACAGGATGGGTGCAGTAAGCGTCTCATCACCACAGTTGCTCGAAGCCCATTTATAGGCTCCTACAGGCTCGGGCTCCAACCGTTGGGCCTCGAGGCGAATGTTCAAAGCTCCTCGACGACCAGCAGAAGATGCCTACAGACCATGTATTTTAAGGAACTTCTCGTTACCGCCACTGGGTTTATCAGAGCCAAGACCTACTTCTTATATACGCCCGCCTCTTTGAATCGGCATGTGCATGGGCAAGAGGCAGGGTTCGGAATAATCATCAGGTTACTTCCAAAATCCTTCTGCACGCGCAACAGGAGGGTCTCCTGTCAGGCGCTAAGTAGTATGGCGACCACTCCATACGACATGTATCACTGCCGTTCATATATAAGATCTGTCTGGGCATCGTTTTCCGCTTTTACCCCTCCCTCGACCATCCGTCTGTCACCTAATTTTTAATCCTGGATATAAACGGAGTCGATGGCGAGTATATCAACCACTCTTGGTACGGTCCATTTGCTTATTGAAAGGCTGTTGATTTTCTGAACCTTCCTATTTCTCCACAGGGCCCCTTGCTCTTGGGATCTTTTGTAGCGCTTCTTCATTCCGAGGTCTAGAAGTTGCCGCTCATGTAATCACTTCCTAGTGAATACCTACCTCTATGGGGTCGTAAGTATCCAATGTGACGTATTGGAACACGAGTGAGTACACCCTGATTCCTTTTCCATACCTAGGTGTAAATAACGCGCCTGGCAGAATTCGATGATCCATATTGGATAAAATGCGTGTTCTCGAACTGTACGTCGTAGAAGTCGACTAAGGAACTAGAGTAGAGCCGCAGTGGTCGCTTTTTTCCTCCTCGATACGGCCCACAGCGCCTCGTACGTGGTGTTTGTTTTAGCTGCAGCCTCGAGGAGATCTTGATTCGCTTTTAGGTTGATTAATATGGCTTGGTATTTTACGTCTTTCACCTGTCAAGTTAAACCCACCTTCGAATCGGATAGGATCGACCATTTCGGGGATTTAGCCGCGTTGACCCGTACGTGCCTTCTTACGCTGAAGAAGTGGACCGGTCACGAAGATTTTTCAGATGTCTTTTGGGCTTATCCCTTCACTACCATTGTCACTGCTCTCCTGGCCTTTCTAACACAACTGTTTTTGGGCTTTCGGTCGGTATCACCATCTGGAGTTCACTGCATCGACGCTGATCTTTGAGCAGCATCTGGCGGCTCACGCAACGTTTCATATTCTATGCCATTATAATTGCGATTTCAACCGTTTCGCTCGCGATGGGAGTTATATGCACTGTCAAGGCGACGACTCTGACGAGGTAAGTCCTCTTGAATATAAGAAGACAGCCCGCATACTCCCTTTTGGTCGTAGCATCCTCGAGGCTTGAGTTCTCAATACATACCACGTCATTTGGAGAGCCATGGAGGTGGCGGCGAACTTCTTCATTTCTTGTAAGCCTTCTACCAACCTCGGTTACGTTTGGGTATTGTCCTCTAAGCTATCAAACGTTAGCCATCCTCATCATCACCCTACTGCGTGCTCGGACGGGACTCCAGACTTCGGATACAGTGATAAACCGTCTCATGCGTACCGTTATCCAATCTGGTGTGTAGACTTTGGTTTTTCGCGTACTCCACGGTCCTACTAACGTGACACCGTCCAGGTGCTCTTTGTGGATTATTTGCGACAATAAGTTTCGTCTTGTTCCTCGCAAAGCAAGAGAGCCGATTCTCTAGCATATTTGGGCTTCCTATACACGGCTGTAAGTAACCCCTCTCATGTTGTTCCAAATATTGCTTGTCACACTTCCGTCGCACGCTGACTGGGTAATTGCAGTCCCTAATGGATACACTTTTGTGTAGGCAATATCTGCGTGGAATGCTAGGCCAACAGAAAGAGGTTAGTTCGCCGTTATCGCCGTTTCTCAAAGACTAACATATGCCATCACTTTGCCAGATAAAATTGAGCACTGGGAGTATCGGCCTGCGAGTCATCAAGGAGATAGAAACACATCAGAATTTCGATGATGAGACGCTGTACTCCAAAGGACCAAAAGGAAAGGATTCATTACCGGAAGGCTGTATCAGGGACTGGCCATGAAATGAATGGAACAATTCGAACTTGGCTGTATTTTTCTGTACAGAGATTATATGTCATGAAAGCCGTAACTGGCATCGCCATGTCTCTCGAATGACGGTTACTCCTCCTTCCATCATCGATGATCAATCGAAGGAGAAATAACTTGGGCGACATCTTGGTCGTGTGTCCATTATGCACCCTCAGTCATAACAATGACTCACTGAGGTTTCGTTTACCTCGGGTATGCGTTTTATAAATAGCAATCGAATAGGAGGAGCGGGTAGAACCCTACACCTTGATGAACAGCCAATTTTACGATAAGGTTCCTTTGAGGCCGATAGATCGATTTGTGGACAGCACCCCAGTCTTAAACGATATCTCTGTCTGAGGATAGAGACTTAAGATAATAGCTCATCTATGGATGAATTTCTCTGGCCGTGAGAGAGAGTACGCCACACCGCCTCCAGACTAACCAAATACAGATATTCGGCTAAGCAGTAACTTCGGCCGAACGACCGAACCTTCTATCCATCATGCCCGCAACAGTGATAAAGAAGAGCCTGCTGTATCCAGAGGAATTCTTGTTCATCAACAGAGTAGACGTGGATCATAAACACATCAGTTAGAGCTGAGTAATCGCAATTGTCGTGTGCCTATCGTGCTTCTTAAAACTCAAAACGCCTTCGTCGGGCAAGACGAGCAACTTGGGGACTGATCTGCATATATATGGTACACTCGTGGGTCCAGGAAAAGAACCGGGTATGTAGAAGACGATGCTGCCTGAAAGAAGAGAAAGGATGCTACTTACATCCATCCCAGTGGTCCTTTGCGGTCTATTGTTCCCGAGGATGTAACTGCCCTCCTGCGTTTCCCCCGACTGAGATACGGGCTATCGTCTTCATTCCTAATGTAGTACGCCCAATCGGCTGTAAGGTCTTTCTCGGTCTGCGAGAACCCATTGCCGAGGAAAGCGAAACGATTGCCTGTGTACCTGAAGTCCCAGTCGTCGTAGCGTGGTTCCGCGATAGCTTCGAGATAATGCATGGTGCTGCCGGGCCAGAGCGCGATGTTTTTGCCTGAGCGACCTTTGTACCAGGAATGGCAAGTGTGGTCCCACACCGTCTGTTTCATGAAGTTATCTTTGAAAGCGACGAAGTCTTCGACAGCCTCCATCTTCGGAGAGAAGCTGTGGATATTCTCAGTCTGCCAACGATCGATCATCTTGAGGATATAGTCAGCTTGAGCCTCTGTAAATGTGCAGAAACATCAGATGGGATCCAAAGAACACATAAATACATATATACCTATGGCAACAAGCACGGGACCGTTGTTGACGGGACTGTTGGGGCCGAGGAACGTGAAGTAGTTTGGAAAACCGTGGGCGGCGAGTCCGAAATACGCCTTGGGCTCGTCCGACCAAACGTCGGCCAGGTTTTTGCCGTTCAGGCCAATCAAAGGAAAGCGGGGCCGGTAAGACGTGTCGAATCCAGTGGCGCAAATAAGGGCGTCGACAGGATATTCTTGGCCATCACAGATACATCCTCTCTCCGTGATTTCTTGAATCCCCCCAAAGATTACTTGAACCTTCTCTGAGGCGAGTGCTTCAAGGTACCCTGGTCCAGGAGTTATCCGACGGCAACCAACGCCCCACGTAGGGATGAGGAGATGTGTGAGGCCCTCGTCGCCGAGCTTGTCCTTCATCATGTTGACCATGGCATCGCGCACGCCTTTCTGAACATCGGAATTGGCGATGAACACTGGGAAGAAGTTGTTGAAGGAGCTTTCCAACGTCTTGCGGTGACGAAGCAGCGCATCGGAATTAGTTCGGAATTCGCGATGCTCCTCTTCAGTGTAGACATGCTGCAGTGTTGTATGACCCGGTGAAACCCAAGTTGGTGAACGGATGAAAGTCGTGACCTTGTTGACGATTGGATGAATAGCTGGGAGTACTTGAACGCCTGACGATCTGTCCATACATCGTCAGTCGCCAGATTGCGAAACGTAAAGATCGCAAAACGCACCCGCAGCCGATGAGCCCTACATGTTTTCCGTTGAGGTCCACACTGGGATCCCATTTTGCGGTGTGAAGTAATGGCCCTTTATAGTTCCCAAGACCTGGGATATTTGGCCAGCGCCATGAGTTCAAAATGCCGCATGCGTTGATGAGCACGTCACAGGAATCGGCGAGAGTTGTCCTATTCGTTAGGTCGACGATTTCGAGCTCCCACTTCGCCGTCGTGTCGTTCCAACAAGCTTTAGTCACTTGGTGCTGGAACTTGCAATACTTTTGCAGCTCGTATTTCTCAGAAAAAGACTTGAAATACTGGAAGATCTCGTCAGAGCCGGCATAGAGTGACGACCACTTTACACTGGGCTCGAAACTCCAGGTGTACGTATGTGCAGGGACGTCACAGGCGCATCTGTACCCTAGTTAGCGAGGCGCATATTCTAAGGCTCGAATCCCACTTCACCCAGGATATTTATTTTCATACCACGTCCCGGCAACATCTGCATTCTTTTCGTAGAGAGTCAACTCGAAATCTTCGAAAGAACGCTGTAATTTATAAGCCAACAGGAGCCCAGAGGCACCGGCTCCGATGCAGATGACCTTCATGTGTCTTTCGTTGTGTATAGGCATGTGGAGTTGAGGGTGGTCATAAGATGGAGGTCCAGTGGGTGAAAAAGCGCTTGGCATGTCGTGGTCGAGAAACGTTCAGTGGAAGGGCTTGATGGGGTACCGGTCCATCCTAGCATATATACAATACTCTTGAGTCCTCCGGGTAATGTTTTTGATTTCTGTGATGGAAGATTGAAGAACGGCTTGATGAGGACCAGGGAGACGACAAAGGTGTGTGGCTGATTGGGGGTTCGAAGAGCTGGAATCTAAATCGGATTTGGAGTTGAGATATAAAGTTTAAACATGTTTGATTGTTATTCCAGCTTGCCAACGTCCGCCATTGACGCAGCACAGTTTCATCTGTATTGGCTGAGAAGAGGTGAGTTTCGGAGGTCGCTGAGGCAGAGGCGGCTGTCAACATGCATACGTCGAAATAGAGGTTCCAGGGGGTAGTAGTGCTGTGAATGTCTTCCCATACCTGGAGCCAACCGCAGTGAAGCACGAAGCTGGTCCTTGGTTTCAAGAATCCCCACAAAAACATGGGGCCTTTCCACCTACTTACATAAGTACACTCCGTATAAGATTCCAGTAGATTCTCCTGGCCCTTGCTAGAGAATTAATCTGTCGTCTTGGAGCGTACCGGTGAGAAGAGAGGCTCGAAGGAGAAGAGTATGTTAAGATCCAGACAAGAATCCAGCTACACTTCTGCCATTGGCAAGGTAGCCCTGGAGGATAAATCAAAGAGTGCGAAACATGTGAGTGTGACGAATATATTTGATTTGTACTTGATGTGCGAACTTCGTGTCGGCCCGGCGGAGCAAAAGCATCCGACGCGATTAACACAAGCGCTCAAGCGCTCAGGCCTCAGGATTTGCTCAGGACTTGCTCAGGACAATAAATTCAATGTCTGGCTGTCGAAGCCTCGGTGCTCCTAGTGTTTGCTCCAAGTTTAGTACTCGATACATACATACTTAGCTTGAAGGCGCTGACTTCAACTGTCCCTTTGTTCGAGCGAACTGATTAAGATGGGAATACAGTCCCGCAAAAGCGTGTAATTACGATGAATAATTGGATAGTGGCCGGGATTCATTCAATTTGATTGCTTCCTCCAGAACATCCAGACACTCAGAATGTCCTTCATGTCAGGTCAGCCAAAGGCAGTGGACCGCAAAAATAATACTTACCTTTTGCGTTCCAAATATGAGAGCCTCCACGACCGGAACTAGAGTAATGTGGGCTACCTTATTTATTTATACTAGCGAACTTTGAATGCTAATACCGACTGATAGCCATAGGAAGGTTTGAGAGAGCCGTGCCTGTCGAGGGCGACCGCGGCGACGTGGTCCCCGAGTAAGCGAAACTGGGAGAAGAGATTTTCAGCATAGTCATATGAGACTTAACTGTATTCTCCGAGTGCACCTCATCCCTACTGCAGCTGCCGCGACAAACCCGAAGATGACAACTCTCAACATGACCGTCAGTGAAATTTCACTCCCGCGGAGGTCCCGAACATTTTGTCTCCAATTGCGCCGCAGAGAGAGAAAGATGGAGCCTATATAGCCCATTTTTGTCTTTCAAAGTAACGAACCGGAAAACATAGTAATCCCTTACCTTGAAGTACTAAAACGATAGTTCCACCCAAAATCACAACGGCCGAACTTACTTTGACACTGTGTGGGCGCTTTGAGGATCGACTGTGTTGGGAGAGAGAATGTAAAACTCACGGGATCGGGTTCTTCCCCAGTGAGCAATACACTCCGCTCAGGTCTCACGAGAGGCTTGAAGGGTCAAGTAAATAAACCTAGATGCAGGGTTCAATTCCTTCCAGTGATGGCCGTAATGGCCCTCAACGCACTACAAGAACCTACAGGAGTATTGCGCAGAGGACGAAGAAGGGAGCAATTAAGAGCTACGTGGGTTGTTAGTGGGATGAGCTCAAGAAATACGCCGATTCGACTATAACATACCCACAAAGTGATCTTGGAGGGGCAGTGCATCCCTCTTGACTTCTTGACATATCTTATCAGAATGTATGTCTTTTTCTGCTCAGTGGGAAGTATTTTGGATGATGCAAAGATTGTTTACCTGGAGCATGAAGGAAATTCCATAAGCTGCGTCGCTAGCAAAACTTATCATTAATCTAAAGATCGTACGTCAAGATACTGGACCCACAAAGGGGGGCACGCGTAGACCAGCATAGCTTGTATAAGGCAGAGAGCTCTTGGAGGCATAGGTCCGATTTGGCGGGTCACAATGAGCAAATATGTGGTAGTGTTGAAGATTCCGGAGGCTCTGTAGAGGATCCATGTCGAGGTACGGCGGATTTTTTCAAGCACGACAGTGAGTACGATGGCGGAGAGAGAAATTGAACCGAATGTTTGAAGGACATTCCAGGCGACAATGTACGGAAAGAAATCGACGGGACTTGTATCGGTAGGTTGTCCAGCAAGCTCTACTATGAAATTGATCAGTAGCGCAAAGCGGTATTGGAGAGATTTCTCATACCTTCGACGGGAGGGGTGCCCTGGCCACGAGGGAAGTACACAAGAGAAGTCAAGAAGGGCTTCAGCAAATATGGAGACTAAAAGCCAACAGGAAGGTGATGCGTGCTCACTTTGTTTTATTCCTTGCATCATGAACACCTCAATCTTGGCGTCTGCAGATTGTGACCAACAGATGTTTCTCCTCATAACTATATAAAGCGTTTGGAATGACGATGATGACGGTCTCGGCGGTTTGGACGTCTGGGGCCACATCGTGATTACTAGGACCTGCTTCCACTGGGCGAGATGTGGGGCATTTGAATTGAAAGCTGGGGGTGAATGAATGTCGAGAAAGTCCTGACGTGCAGCCCAACATTCGGTGAGGAGTACACTGATTTAGCGCCCAGTCCTGGCAATAAGCGCCGGCCCGGCTACGGACTCGGAACCACCTGAGAGCAAAGCGAAGGGACAGTTCATTCACAATGCAGTGCATCCAGAAGAGGAATAGTACATAGAGCTTACGGGCACGGTCGGTAGTAATTCTAATTAGCAGGCATCTTCAAGCAGGTAGTTCTCAGGCCGTCTCCACTCCATTTGGCCACCTCGACGAGCAATTCCTTCTTCTTTTCGAAGCCTGCAGTTGAACGGAGTTCATACAGCGTTGCTGCACGGTTGTCGTTAGACGGCATTTTTACTGGTTCATCACCAACTTACAGAGATTGAACAAGAACGGCTCGGCGACAACCACACTTGTCGGGCTTGCGTTCAGGGCTATCTCGAGTACCTCAATGCCCTCCTTCACCTTTCCTTGAGCAAGCAGTGCCACGCTCAGGTTGTTGACCGCCACATAGTCCTGCGCATCACCCTCGAGAACCTCCTGCAACTCGTCGCTCGCTTCCTCCCAGTCACCCCGTGCCGCTGCGAGGAGCGCCGCGTTGGCCTTCTTCTGCGAAGTGGTGGCAGCAGGGTCGGACTCGACGAGAGCAAAGTGGTGAGAAGCAGCAGCGACATCGCCTGCTTGGAGGTAGATACGCGCGAGTGCGCTCCGGAGTGTGGGGTTGGGCTGTGTGCAGAGCGGTGTGAGGAGCTTGGTTGCCGCTGTCATTTCCTGGCATGAAATGAGCTTATATACCGATAAGCAAAGAGCTTCGCTCACCTTCATCTCAACTAATTGTGAGGCCATGATCAGGACCACTCGCGCGCCACGCTCCTTCCACATCGGGACGAGGGCCTCGTCACCGCCTGCCGCCCTGCACTTCGTCCGGCATTTGCGCAACAAAGCAGAGAGCGCGTCGAGGTAGCCCATGTGGTCGCCAGCCCAGTACTTCAGCCGCGTCTGCATCACCTCGAGCTCGAAAGGCAGCAAGCGCTCGAAGACGTAGTCGCGCGCCTCCGGGGGTTCAATGACGTGCAGGGACGAGAAGAGGTTCGTGCATTCCGCGGAGGTTTGGTTAAAGAGCCGGAGGCGGGCGAGGCAGGACAGGCGAAGGTGCCAGAGCTGTCCGTGGTTGTTAGTAAATCATAAGATGAATTGACCTTGGCGCCTTACCCCGAGGATGAGTGTCAAATCCGATGCGTCTGCTGTTACGAGGCGGTCTCTAGCCATTTTCGCCAATGCTCGCCAGCTGTTGGTCATCTAGTCGCTTCATTTATATCCCATTCACAAGCTCACACCTCAGAAAGACTCACAACGAGCGTATGGAAATCATTTCTCTGCCAGTCACCGGTCAGGTCTCTTGGAGGACGTCGTTCGGGGGGATAAATATATTTGTTCAAGAGCGTAGTCAGCGGGTCCGTCTAATATACACGTTGTACAGTTGATTCGTTATTTCTGGGCAACCACCATGTCAAGAGATTTGAGGAAATGGATGGGCGTACGTTTGGAATGGGCAGGAACATAGTGGGCATGACGAGCGCGGGGACGTAAAGGTCGGGCGCTTCTTCCTCCTCGTCATCGTCGTCGTCGGTGGGCGGCGGCGGAACATCTTTGTTCAGGTTGGGAAGAGGGGAGGCGAGCGAAACTTCAGGCTGAGGCTGGAGCTCGACCAGCGCAGGCGCTGGGGCGGACTCGGCCTGGGGCACGGAAGCAGGCCCCGGCTCAAGGTCGAGTGGGACATTATCAGCAGGCGATGCGGTCGCCTGCGACACGTCAGCCGAATCTGCGTGCTCCTCTTCGGAGAGAGGATCCCCATCGTCATCGATAAGGAACGGATCGGGGGTCTCTGGCGCGACAAGCACCTCTGGGATGAGGGCCGGAAGCTCAGAGGCAGACGGCTCGTCCTGGGCCTGGACCTGCTCGACAGGTGCGACAAGAGCCTCAACGACCTCGACAGCCTGCTCGACAGGCTCGCTGGGGCTATCCGCGGGCATGTCGACGCGCTCTACGGGCTTGACGTCCGCGGGTGGGTTAGGAAGCTGATTGGATTCAAAAGAGTGTTCTGAGCTTGTCATACTTCGGGAATCGGGTACGCTGACGAACTTGACGTGAGTGCTGTCGTAGCGGGCGCGAGAAGAGGAGGAAGGCGGGAGTGTTAGGAAGGCGGGAGCGATATCGATGGGAGGGGAGATGGAAGTTGGGAACGAAACAGCTCGTTGGCGGGTGCCGTGGTGGTGTTTGGTATGCGTCACGTGGTGGAGCATCTCGTCGAGACGCCGGAGTTGTCGCTTGACCCTTTTCACGACCTTCCCGGCGGCCTCCTTCATCGCTGCCGACCGTGACTCGGTCGACAAAATAGAGGAGTCCTCCTCCGGCTGCGCCTTAGACGCTCGCTTGCCCAATCTTGGCCTAGACAGGCTTAGAATGCGGGGCATTGCGGCGGGTAGTGTGAGGACTAGAGGAAAAGCTCAGGCGGCGAATCTACGCTTCATTTATACCTGCAGGCGGGCGGCGTAAATGATTACGTTCACTAGATCGTGCTTCAGATTAAGACAGGATCGAATCGATGACGCACCGACGTAGACAAGACAAGGGAACCCCGCCGCTTCCAGTCTGCCACCGAGCACACTACACCCGTCTAGTTTACGTGCCAGAATTTCCTCATCGCATCCAGGCTCGTCCACCTGCCCGTCCACCTGCGCATTCAGCCACTTGCACTGCATAATGATGATATCAATCAATTGATAAGTGACTTGTTTTCTATTTCAGTTTCCGAATCTTTCCGATTCACCTCTGAAGAAAGGAGAACAAGAGTCTTCGGCTCCTCGAATACCCTGCTTCGGCTGAGAAGGAACTCCGGTGAGGTCACGACTTCTCGACAGGAGAAATGTGCACTCTGCATGGCAGCCTGCAGGCGTCTTGATTAGATCTAATCTACCTTTCTAGGATCCTCATTTGTTTCCTGTCTTTATACTGTCGTCTGTCGTTCCCCTAATCGCTTGAACCGCGTTTCAAAATTGCGCCAATGTCGTGAGGTACACATGCGGCCTTTTCTCCGAAACAACACACGAAACGGTGGTTTGCAGGGTGCTGCATGCCTGGATCGCTTCATAGTCTGGAGGCTCGAAGTCTTGTGTCGTATGATCACCGTTCTGCTTAGGTCTTCTCGTTCATGTGTCTGCACACCGCTCGACGCGCCATCTCCGCAAAACGGTATATTGAGGTCGAATTCCTTGTTGCTTCTCGGGTAGTGCACATCGTATATCTCATAAACTCTGGCATAGGCGAAACTTGCCACAACGACAAAATATATCCGAGCTCCACTCCAAAGCCCAAGAAGATCTAATTTTCGCACCTAGTACACATAGGGGATGTACTTGTACTTGACGACTTGGCAGTACCTTTCCCAGTCCTTGCCGTACTTCATAGAGCACCTGCAAGATTGCGTGTCAGGCCTCAGAAGCGAAGCGTATTAGAGAAGGGAAAACACTTACCGCTCAAAGTCTCTCGTGCAGCGGTGGAGGAGCACGACGATAAAGAACACGGAGTAGAAATACGGGATGATCGTCGCGGTACCGATGATGGCGCCCCAGGTCAGGCTCATGATCCAGTCGGCGACATAATTTGGCTTGCGCGAGTATGCCCACCAGCCACTCGTTAGTAGACGATTTCTGTATCGTTGCGGCCAGTCAGTGATGGAGAGTAGAAGAGAAAACAGATAGTATACCCATGCGCCGTCTGAATGTAGGTCGGGTTCTTCACGATGCATCCTGGTAGTTGGGGGAAGGTCTTGCGGAATTCGGTTCTGCCCTGAGTTTGCATTTTGAAGCGGCTCTTTTGTGACATCGCGGTGTCCCAGCTGCGAAGGACGGAATCGAGTGAGTGACGTAGTATATTAAACAATGAGACGAGGGACACTGACATGTAGTAAGCTGTGCAAAGGACCGTGTAGATGAAGACGTAGCCTGCGGTGCTAAACCGGTAGGCGGAGGGGTCGTGCGAGGCCATGTAGACGACCGAGTAGACATAGGACTGGACTGAAATCAATCTGAATCGATATCAAATTAGAGGGAAGAACATACAAAAGGAACACCAGAGAAATTCCAGAAGATGACCATGAAGCCCCACCTAGCATCATGGGTTAGAATACGTAAGAGGTTAAAATAAAGAGGAACAGTAATACTTCTCATGGAACATATCCCATGTCTGGGGGATACACTCTTCGCCTTTTGCGCTTGAGAAAAGGTCAAAAGATAATTCCTTCGAACGATGAGATGGCATACCAAGCATTGATATACAGTCCAGTAGCGAGAATCATGAAAGCCATATTCTGACCGGCAGTGAGTACGTGGCGCATATAGTTTCTGTACAATGAAAATCAGACTTACAGGTGTTACATATCCATACGTCTCGTACTGCTTGCACGCCCCTGAGATGGACAAGAAGAAAACGATAACCCAGGGAATGCGAACTTCTGCCCACATCTTCAGATCAACCGAACCCAAGCGAGGGTTGAGAGCAGCACCCATAAAATAGTCGTAAAAGAAGTTTCCAGACATGCGGAGGGCGGTGCCTGTGAGGACGGCATGGAGATACGTGATGAGGGAAATTCCAAAGCCATAGATCATTGAGATAGTCATGATGTGCCCGTAGTTGTCGATGATAGCAGTAAGACGGAAAATGTCGTAGTGGTGCAGGACAGCAGCAGTGATGAGCGTCGTGTAGAAGCAAAGGTTGGCGTTGCAGTTGTACATGAGGGTCTTGTACCCTAGAGACGGGACGGGCAGACCTTCTTGCTGGTAGCCTGGGATGACCAACGCGATAAAGAGCTGGAAGAAAAAGTTGCCAGAGTAGACTTTCCATGCGTAGAGATTGGGAGACGCGTCCTAGACGCGTCCAATAAGCTGGGAACTTCACAGACGAAAGTTTGGCGTACTCACCTTCGCGACGTGGCCCCACATACGCCATAGAAAAGGTTTAATATCTTCCACAGACGACGGGTGGACAAGTTTTCCGTCGTAGAACCACAAGCAAATCCATAGATAATACATAAGAATGGGGAAGCCCGTCATAATGGCTACGACGCCCCATGGTCCACCGAATTCGTAGCTGCATAAAAAAAATCAGCTTCCGGACTGACGCAGGCTCTTGGAGGTCCAGACTGGGCACTTGCCTGATATGTTGGTCGAGGCGTTTGTCGATTTCTTTTCCATGATCGGTCACCACGACGCGGTCTATGTTGCCGTTGTTGACGTCCCTCCGACGCAGAGAGGCCTCTGAGCCGTTGGAATAGGCGGTGGTGGTGGACGACATAGCTCAAGAACACGCGATGCGAACAAGGTCGAACGACTTTTAAGCAAAACCGGGCCGGGCAAATACGAGGATACCGATCATGATCATGACTCAGCGCTCAGCGCTCAGCAATATGTGTTACTTCCTGCGTTGTCACATCCAGTCACGCTTTACAGAATGGTTCTGCATGATCTTCAGAAACTTGAAGATAAAACCTGATCGACTAGAAAGTGATGTTCGACGTTTAGGTGATACTCGCACCACCATGATAGGTGGCACACCGTCTCCACTAGCATATGCCCCGCGCAGCGTCAAACAACAACGGCCATCTAGTAGGGCGGGCGCTTATTCTTCAGCTCGGCGCTAAATCTGTAGATCCTCGCAGAAGCATTCAAATGCGAGGACAAATGTATGCAAGGTACGTGCGTTAAGTGCAGATGCTTCACATCTTGCCAAGTCGACGGACGTGGGTCTTTGAAATAATGATGAGGCCTCAGAGGTCCACATCCGGCTCGATGCAGGCGGAATGGTTATGAGGTGATGCTTCGAGGAGTCATAATCTGCGCGGGCTTTGAATGTGATACTGTTGATGGAAGTATCAGAACATATACCTCTGTAATCTTCTTTAAGTCTCCACAGGTGCTGGAATCCTTCTTTCTTCCCATCTCTTATGCATCCTCTTTGTGGTATTCACTCCTCCTGCGCTGTCGAAGGTATGAAACTTCTCCTGGATATTATTATCCTGGAGTTACTTATCTACTGGTTTCGTAGTTGAGCTTGTGACACAATTTCCGGACACAAGCGACTCTAACCTCTTTCCGTACATTGTTGCTTGGAACATCCTTTGAACATTTGGTTTAATTTCGCTTTCCGCGACGGTGATAACTGTCTTTCTTGCAAGAGTCCCCTGCTCCTGGACATTCATCCTATACATCTCCTCCGAAATTTTGAACACTACAGCATATTTGCTCGTTGTTGGCCACCAAATCACGCCTATACTAACCACTACTATCTACCTCATACAAGCTATGCTGGTGTAACTCAGCGCAAAAAAAAGTCGGCGCCTCACTCCCTGAAGCGGTGTACGACAGCTGGAGTACTCACCATCCCAGGACTAAGTAATGATGGATGAGTTGGAGAACATACATACTTACGGCACCGTGCACCGTCATACTCTTTGTTCCTCGAGTATTAGATCAAGGTCGCGTCCGGTAGTGAGATAGAACCTGTTGGGATGATGATTTCTCAAAATAGAGGTATCGCGACACAGATGCTCCTCCTGAGAGAAGATGTCGTCAATCTTCGTGTCTTAAGGTTGGCTGGTTGTTTACATAGGAGTCGGGGTCATGCTGGCAGCTGCGATGCGTTGCAAGGCGCCGCGTCCGGCTGGAGAACGTGATCATCGTGGGAGAATGTAACTAGAAGATGGATCTGTCACGAAGGCGTGACTAACGACCCTCCTGTCCTCTGTTCTCCTCTTGTCGCCCATTTCTGCTGTATAGAGTCGCCTCAATACATGGCATCTTCTGTCTTTTACAAATTCAATTCTCGGAAAGACGAGTCCAGGGTGACCTTCGATGGCACTGGCATATCCGTCTTCGATTTGAAAGGTGAAATCATACGTGCCAACAACATGGGTAAGGCAAACGACTTTGACTTGCACCTTTACGACGCTACGTCCAAGCAAGGTGAGTTATCTGTTGATCATGTCTATGAAAAGCATTGACAACTCGACGAAATCGCAAGAATTCAAAGATGACTCGCAAATCATCCCTCGCTCTTCCTCTGTTATTGTCAAGCGGTTGCCTGCAGCACGTCCCGGAAAAGGCAAGGCAGCTATGTATTTGAATAGTGCTGGCGCTGCGCTGCCCAGCTCAGAGCCAGTCGTACGTGGAAGTTCTGCGGCAGGGGGTGGAACATGGCATAAAGGTTCCATGTCGAAACGGTTTGACGGCAAAGATGAAACTCATTCCGCAACTGCGACTTCCCCGACCAAGCAATCAACACCAGTGAGTTCTTTCCCCCTCTATTAACACGAAAGACAAACCTCGCCGTGCACTTAGGTACCAGTCGCAGCCCATGTCACAGCAAGCGAAGAAGCAGCCGCCATGGCAGCTATGTTCCAAGCCCAGTCGCAAAACTGGGAGGAAACTCAAGAAAAGATGTCTCAGTTGGTGTTGCCCATTGCGGGCTTTACTTGTGTAGTAGAACTTCCGAGTCTAATGAACATTTTATCTTGCTTCTCCCTTTCCTGTGGTATGCGTCGTGTAGTGCCCAGGTCATTCACCGAAATCCTCGAGGTACCAGCTTTGCCCGTGGTGGAAAGCCGCATACGCCACACATTACCCAGATTGACAGGCCACTACCTCCAAGTTATGTGTGCTATCGATGTGGACAAAAAGGTTGGCCGCTTGCACGAGAGACAAGTACGTTATTCTGACAATTTTCGAAGGCCACTGGATCCAAGACTGCCCAACGAACAACGATCGTGACTTCGACAACCGCCCCCGCATTAAGCGCACAACAGGCATTCCAAGAAGCATGCTGAAAGCGGTCGAAAATCCCAACAGTGGTGACCTGACGCAAGGAGTCATGGTTACTCCAGAAGGAGGTTATGTGGTTGCTCAGCCAGACTTGTGAGTCAAACCTCCCTTGACCCATATTCTAATTGACTCTCGCAGGGCGTCGTGGCAAAAACAAGTGGCCCGTTCAAAAGGTTTGACAGCCGCGGAAGTCCGAGAGAAAGCGCCGTCCGACTCCTCGTTAGCGTGCCCAATAGACAACAAACTTTTCCGAGATGCTGTTAAGACCCCGTGCTGTTACAGATCGTACTGCGAAGAATGTATTCAGACGCACTTGCTCGAGAGGGACTTCATATGCCCTAATTGTGGAAAGAAGATTGCGTCGCTGGACAAGCTCATTGTGGACAAGCCGATGAGGACCAAAGTCGCCGATTACATTGAGAAGGCAATCGAAGAGAGTAAGGAGGATAGCGAAGAGGGTGCAAACGGCAAAGGCGAGTCCAGCAGGCAGCAGGTAGTCCCCTCATCGTATACCTCATACCCAAAAGCTAACTCAAGGCAGAGTACCAGCCCTGAAGATGGCGCCCCGGGCGAACAAGACATCTATTCCGAGCAACAGCCCGACCTCAATATGGACATGTCGCAAATGCTCGTCGACCAAATTCCCCAATTGCAAGCTCAAATTACGCAGATTTCTCAGATGCTCCAAAACGCGAATTTGCCAGACAATGTACGACGACAGACTGAGATGCAGCACCAGCAACTGCAGATACAACTTCAGCAAGCGCAGACCATGCAGGCGGTACTCGCGGCGGCAACGTTCCAGCAGCAGCAGGCCGCTGCAGTCCTCGCGGGTGGTGGTGTAGGTTCGGGGTCGGGTAATGTGGGCGTTGGTGGGTTTGGTGGGATGGGTGGGTTCCAGGGGCAGATGGGCGGTGGTGGGTGGGGTGGTCACAGCCAGTTTATCGGACAGCAGCCCCCTCCGCCAGACTCGGCATACCAGCGCTTGCCTGTCAACAATCGGAGGAGGAACCTCAAGCGGGATCGACCAGCAGAATTCCTCGAGGGTCCAGACGGGACCAAGTTGCCCAGGTATTGGGAGTAAGGATATTGCGTGATACTAGATTTGGTGTAGATCGCCATTCATTTGAGAGTTGGTTTTACACATAGCAAATCGAGGAACAGCTTATCTTACCCTCCCACTTATAGTCCCTTCATCGAATAGCCAGTACATAGTCACACGAAAATAAATATCATTCCGCATCCACATTATCCAACATCCGGTCCATTACATGAGGTTGCTAGCTGAGCATGGCAGTATTACGACCCCCACATGATTGAACTTGAAGACGATGCAATAGGTGTTGCGGACTCACTTGCCGCTCGTGCAGCAGGTGGTCCACCGCCTCCCACTCGTTTCAGTAGCATTTGTTGGTAGCTCTCCCAGGCAGAGATCAACTAGACGAAAGATAGCAGGCTGAGCTCAAGTTGATGCCCGAAGGATATAAACAAACACACCTCTTTCTGTCGCGAGATCATACCCTCCAAGAAAGCATGCAATGTGTCCTTGAAATCCTGGATCCTCTCTTGCTCAAACCTCGCAGTCTCCGTCTTCACTAGCTTAGAAACCTGTTCGTACTCGAGCCTTGCCTCCGATGCGCGGCGTTCAGCCTGAAGGTCTCAATCAGCGATTGAGGAAAAAAAAACAAGAACGAATGGCAAGTCTGACCTCAGCAATCTGGGTCAAAGAGAACCCAAGGCGGTCAGGAGGAATACGACCCTGAGCCCTGTTCTTCTCATGCATTTGCTTCGTTCGTAGTAGCTCGGCCTCAGAGTTCTTCCATGCATGATAGACACGTATCCGTGAACTGAACGCAAGCTTGAGGATACAGGATCAGAACGTGCCAAGCTTCGGAGCCCCATAAAAACCTACCCTGACAGAGTTGATAAGACGAGCATACTCATCCGCTAAAATTGAAAACAGCTTAAGCACGAACAAGAAGTAGGAGAGAACACACCCACCCGTTGCCATCAGAGTAGACATATCCTGCTCTGCCTGTGTACTTTGCAACTCTTGGGCCTTCCGTTCGATATCCGCCAGGCCAGACAGAGATTGCGCAAGTTGCTTGCCAACGTCTGCTGCAGAGAGGTCGGCAACTTGCTGCGCAAATTCACCCGTTGCAACAGACAGTTCTTCATGCAAACATGGGGCGTCAGCCTCCAACCCCAACAGTAGAAACTGGAAACGAAATACCTGTACGCTGCTTTGCGACTAGTTCGATGGCTTTGACGAGGCCTCTCAGTTGAGATTCCAGGCTGTCTAGGTAGACTTTCTGTCGATCAAACCACTGGAAAACAAGGACGAAGTAAGTGGATGTCCAAAAGGCTGGATTTGCCTAGAAAATTACCTCGTCTGTCTCGTAAAACCGCGGTCCTGCGATGCTCTGGCCAATCGAGGCAATTAAACCACTCCGTTCTTGAGCGAGTTCGGCCTTTCTGTGCTTGATCTAACGTACCACAACCACTGTCGGCATTTCACATACGTCCCTGACGAAGAAAACGCTCACATCAAGAGAGAAAGTATCACTCTCCAAGAAGAGCTTCAAATCAGGGTCTTTCCCTAGAACTGGGTGGTTCGCCGTCTTTTGGATACACTTTTCCAGTGCCATCCTCCGCTGTCGGACGAACTGATCATCGAACCGACCGAATGTGTTCTTTTCAGGCACTGGAGGTACGACCACGCCTGGATTGTTGTTGGATAGCGTCTCATACAGCCAGAGGAAATCGGAGTACCGTCGGAGGACGGAGAAGGCGGATTTATTGAACAGCGGGGATGTTGTCTTCAGAAGAGGGGTGAGTCTTGCTGAAAGGATGCTGAAAGGAGTAACGTACGCGTGTGTGGACGGTGTACATAGTGAATGAACGTATTGGATCTCCAACTTTCTGTGGGTCATCCACTGAGATGACGAACACCGGTTGTAGTCCCTTGTCGTTAGTTGGGGGCTTATGAGACTGAGCCAAAGAAAAGACAATGAGACGCTGCCGAACGAAAGTGAGAGAAAGCTCGGAACGTACGCCAGTATGCTGCTTCTGGAGGGTCTGCAAAATAGGCTTGTCATCATCGCTATCGTCGTCCACTACCAGTGCAGTCTTCGGAGGCACAGGAGTGAAGTGCTCCGACTGCCATGGGGTTGTGTCGTCGGTGTGCCATCCCCCCAAGGCCTCCCCTCCTAACGACAGTCCAGCTATCGGCCGTTCCAAACCAGTCGAGGCAGGATCCAAAGGCGACTTGAATGCCGACGCTGTACTCGAAACGGGTGGCGATGTGAAGCTTGAATTTGACCGCGAGGGCGGCTTCCGAGCTTCAACCGCAGTCGTCGAGGTGGATGTCTGCTCTGCCTTCTCTGCCTTCGGAAGCGCGTTGCTCGAGCTGGACGATTCGAGGAGGGTTGGCAAGGCCGTCGGAAACTCCTCGATCTCCGTCGGTCGAATGGTGGCAATTTCTGAAAAGCCCGTTATTGCTGGGGTTGTTGGAACGCTTTCACGAAACCCTGGCGAACGCTGCTTCGCCAAAGGCCCATTGTCTTCGTCAGCTTCAGCATATTGCGCTGGAGAATCGAGAGGGTCTGAAGGTGCAGTTTCTTCCACAGTATTCGTGCTCGATTCAAATGTGTTGGGGGCGGGCACATATGGCTCTGGGGACGCAAATGCGGAGGAGCTGCCTCCAAAGGCATCTGAGGAACCGTGACTCGCAAATGGTGTAGCCCATGGATCAGGAGAGCCCGAACGCCTAGCAAAAGGGTCCGCAAAAGGGTTGTCTTCCAACGCAACGCGCGACGGGTTGAGGAGGTCGTCGAAGCCGTCCATAGTCGATTCTGACGCGTTGGCTCTAGTCAGGCCGGTGAATTGATTCCGATGTCATTTACCGCCTGCCTGAATTGGAAGGTCTCTCGATGGAAAGCGGAAAGCTGCAGGCCAATTCATGGGTGCAAGGGGCCCTAGTGTACAGATGATATCAAAAGATTTGGACAGAAAACGGTGAATCTGTGTAACGTGCTTAAGAGACAGGGTCGAAAAATCTTTACAATGAGCAAAATAAGGATAGTAATGCGAAAAAGCAAAGTGCGGAGAAAGTCGATATCAAAATGCTGGGCGAAAAGCATGGGGGTGGAATCACTGAGGCAACGAAGGAAGCTGGTTAAAGATAACGCAAGTCCATGGCGAGAGAAGAGCATTTATAAATTGAAAACTAGAAAGGAATGAAGGTGCTGGAAGTTATGACATGAGTTTCTCTCCCCATACAAGCCGATGACGGTGAGCACGATATGCACCAGAAAGTGCAATCCAGAATAACCAGGAACAGATGATAAAAGAGACGACAAAGAGGGTACGCATATACATCTTCCATCGCCAAGAAACTGGGCTTGAAGAGGTGAAGACGATCGATCGCCAACGCTCATAAAATTCGGTGTTAAGCCATGTAAGATCGGAGACAAGGGCTCGTGCCTAAGATGACAATGTGAGAGGAGGCCCCTGAAAAGATCGACGAGCATGCGTGCCTTTTCCCCGCCAGAATGGTACGCCTCCTGAATATCCGTCACTTGCTTCTGGATAGTCGGGAGAGTATCCGCGAGCTCTGTCAAGGACTCCATCGAATCTTCGAGGTCTTCTTTTATCTGTGGGACTTGGAATTTAAGTGCCTTATCAGCCTGTTGATAGTTGCGCTATTGACCAAGGATGAAGTTAGTTATTTTGCGTTGAGTGAACTACGAGACACACCTTGAGGTTACGACAAGTTTCTTCCAGAGTAGTGTTGATGACCTTGAAGTCGTCTATGTTCGCACTTATTCTCGACTGGGGATCGACTCATTGGCCGCTTGGGGTCGTCGCGAAGTCCAGAGAGTACTCACATCGAGGTTTCTCATGAGGTATTCGTACTTCAGATTCCTCTTGCAGGCCTGCTTCACTAGGCCGTCTAGCTTTCTACAGGTCATTCCGGTCAGTGTCGCGAAGAACAGGCCCAGAAATCAACACGAACGTCGTTGGAAGGGCTACTGGCGCTTCCGAAGCATTCCAGGGCGACCATGAGCTCGATTGTGCTGGTTCTGGCGAGTTCAGAGGCCTACTAAACAGCATCCAAAGAGCTCCAGCAAGAAGAAGGAAAGAAAGGAAGAGAAAGGAGGAAGAGAAACGAAGGGGTTGATAAAGAAGAGGAGCTTTACATAAATTGTCGCGAACAGGGCCTCATGTACTGGGCAGTCTGATCGAATTCACGTGTGGCTTGGCCGATTCGATCAGCCCCCATCCCGCTCCGTCGTTCTTGGTCTAAAGCCTACCTCCTTGAATGCTCCATTCACCCCCTCTTTTCTAGCAATAATTGATGAAGAAAGTGCTCCTTATGCAATGGCATCTTTCAATATACCAAGCTTGGATGATCAATCGATGAACGCCGAATGCTTACTCGAAGCATTTCGTCTTGTGAACCTGGTCTGTTTCTCAGAATCAAACAGGATCTGTCACGCGCACGGGTGCACCACAGTCGGCTACAGAGGCGCATCGTGTTCTCTTGCGCAAGGGCTTAGGGCACACGGCATCGCGAGCGACGAGGGTGCTCCACTTGACCTTTCCATGGAGGGGTCAAGGATCCACGGCCCCCTGTCATGCTTGTCGCTCCTTCATCACACGCTGAACTCACTGCATATCTCCAGCATCTTAAGAATATCCACCTCGGTCTGCTCGGTCTGGTCGTTTTTACGATTCAAGGCCATTCTATCGCAGGCGGGTTCAGGCAATCGATTTGATTGGGGGTTCAGGCCAGGTTCGTAGACCTCTATTTGTGTTCCATCGAAAAGGAGTAACGTGAGTAGCCTGAGAATCGTCCAGGATTCAATTCCTCTTGAAGATGGACTCCCGGTGCGAGGCATAAGGGCAAGTACTTGCCTTGGCCTGTCGAGAATGATATGGGTTGAGGAAAGCTAAGAATGTATTCCTTCGATCCGACACTGCGACGAACGGCTCGCCGGGGACCAGATGGACTCCCCCATTCCGGCCCTATTCCGACACCTCTCCTTCCCTAGTCCATCCGTTAATTATTGAGAAAAGGAAATCTGGTGGTTGCCAGCACTCTCGCGTTGGTCGACAAAATGGAATCTGCGCCACAAAAACTTACCTGACTTCACTATTATGGAAGCGTCGGGTATCTCTCCCTGGAAATCGTCCACGTCCTTCCCGAAGGTTTCACGGTTTCCTATTGGTTGTTTGTGGTACAAGTGAGTACTTAGTATCTTCACAACAAGTCTACTAAGAATTCATTGTCAAGTTAATACTGGAGGGATATGAAGGAAACACAAAGCCTAACAAAGAACGGTTATTTTAGGACCGCCTTTCAGACTCGAGGAGCATGACTATTATCAGCGAATGTCGTGGAGCCCTCTAACTGGCCAGAGGAGACGGAGGAGACAAGAGCATTCTGGACAGTCTTTTGCGGTAAACCTTATGACTCTCTTGCTAAATTTACGCTGACATTCAATGATCCTAAAGCGACTATTAAATACACGAAAGAACGATGCCACACGTGGCGCATCTCTTCGATATGCTTCACGACTAGACAAATTTCCGCCGGACTTCAAACGGTAGCTTGGGCACTCAGCCTCAAACGGGTCAGCTAGCCTACCTAGCGACTATTCATACTTCTTGTGCGCCTGATACACGCGGGCGTTCTGCCTCGTTATCCAGTGATAACCCAACGCGTCTCTGGCGACCACGTTGCTCGACTTTCCTTTTGGTTCATTCGAGGTTCTTCACCAAGGTTCGCTTTCACAAGGATCGTTGGAGGCTGCATCACACTACCACCATCTGCATGATTCTCGGAAGTCTGCCTAGATTCGGGATTCACTGGATTTGCCGTCTTCAGTGCAAAATATGCGGAGAAGGTGTATGAATCGAATTTATGGAATTAAACCGATGGAGGATAAAAGGCCGAGCATTTCGAGCAACCAAGGGTATTCCAGGATCGGACTGCCTGCTGCCTCTTAATTGCTTGCTTTCCTGACGATGAAATTCCTCTCTTCGCTTCTACTGGCTAACTTGATCTCGATCACCGCACATATTGGTGTAGCCGCCTCACCGCTCTACAACGCGACTTCCTTCGATCAGGTACTCGATCACGATGCTCGCGAGATTCTGAAGCGTGCCACTCCCGCTGCGCCACACTTCGTCGTTTATGCCGACGCCTATGATGGTACCACGGGCCCTCCCGCGGCGTCTGCTCTCAAGGTATGCTTCCCTACATCCTACGAATTTTTGAAAGTGACGTCTGGCTTTGTTCGTTTGAGGGATACAATGTGTTGTAAGTTGAGCTGCCCCCTAGACCTGCAAGCCTCCTAACGAGCTTCTCGAAGTGCCTTGTCCTTTCTGCTCATGGCAGGCGCTTGGGACAAGGCTTATGAGTGGACCACCTTAACAGCTGCCCAGCGATCTTCCATCAAGTCCCAATATGCCTCTGCAGGCATCAAACTAATTGTCTCCGTCTTTGGCTCTACTGACGTTCCGACTTCGACAAATGCTGATCCAATTGCTACTGCGAACAAGATGGCAGCGTGGGTGAAGCAGTACGACCTCGATGGTATTGACGTTGATTATGAGGTTTGTTCACTCGTCATTTTTGTTCCCTGACATAAGTAATCATGCTCATGATACTTGACAGGATTTCAACGCATTCTCTGCTGGAGATGGCAAGGCCGAGGCATGCACATTTAATGTCGACATGTGCCCTTTATTTTGACGCAGGACCATTGAATAGGCGTGGCTTATTTCCTTCACCAAGCAACTTCGCACGCAACTTCCTCAAGGGACTTACATCTTGACTCATGCTCGTAAGACCACCTCATATCGTCTTCTCTACAAGTATCTGATATCGACGACTTTCGAACCCAGCCGTGGCCCCCTGGCAAGTGTTTTCAGGTAGCTTCCATTCCACTATTTCTGACTTGGTTATCAAGGTTTTCGCCGAGCAAATACGGCGGTGGTGGCTATCTCAAGGTTCACTCCTCGGTCGGAAACCTTATCGATTGGTACAACGTTCAGGTGTGGGATTTAATGATACCCGCCCGTCCTCCTTTGCTAACTTTGCTCTAATCTTTGCCGTTCATTATCCAGTTCTATAATCGTGAGTCCAAAATGTATTTATAACCCAAGCTTGATATCCGAACCCGGGCGAATTCGTGTGCAGAGGGCGCGTCCGAGTACACCACATGCGCAAATCTCCTCACGACGTCTTCGGGCACATGGCCGCAGACAGCTGTCTTCCAGATCGCCTCGAATGGTGTACCTCTGAGCAAGATTGTTATCGGAAAGCCAGCTACTTCGGGTGATGCAAGCAATGGCTATATGTCCACTTCGACGCTGGCTAGCTGCCTGCAGACGGCCAAGAATCGTGGATGGAGTAAGTAATTCGCGCTTGGACACGGATCTGTGAACGCTGATGCTAGATCTTTGCATCTAAAGACGGTGGCGCGATGGTGTGGCAGGTGAGTCGCCAACGCTAAATTTGATATCTGCCGAGGCTGATCCTATCGTGGTCCCGACTACAGTACAACAGAGCACCTTCTTCGTGGATCACTGCTGTTAGATCCCTTTCCTGGCCTGTTTAGACTGCCAACCGCCAGTCGTGTCCGCCCGCAGAGCCTCAATTATGCTCGTTCTTTTGTTTTCAACGTTTTCTTAGAATATGCAGAAGTGATAAGGATGGATCAACTTGTACTTATGTGTGGGGCCAGTGATGCGCTCTCAAAGTATAACAAAATCTTAAAACAAGTCGGAAAGCTCACGCCAACCATATCCTTCGTTGACGATCTGTCAGGTGAGCGCACGAGTCGTGTTTCAGTGGAGCTCTGAGAAAGATTGCCTTTCTGAATTTAGTGAAATTGAGTAGCCTTGCGAGTTGCTCATTCACCTCGTCCGTCTTCATACTCCAGCAGAGAATAATTCAGGGAACTTCCGCGAACTTTTAGGTTGAACTCGGAATATCCGCATAGTAACAGGCAATTGACTTCATGAACTCTCCATTGTTGCCGTTCCGTAACAAACTTCATCTTGGCTTCATTCCTCGAAGTTCCTGATCACCATATGGTCGATTCCTCCTCCCACATGTTACCACGTCTAATTTCAACCTTATGCCGAAGAGTCCAGGCGTAAATGAGATACAGATCTCCCGAGAAAAGGGCTGAAAATGTTATAAAACTGTCGAGAGAGTTCTAGGGCAAGCCTGCGGCAGCCCAGCAACGAAGTTTAACTGTTGTCCTCCTTCCAAGCATGCGGTTCCTCTCTCTGCCACCAGCCTTGATCAACTTTCTCAGCGTTAAATCCCCGACTCTCCTTACGTAAGTATGGAGGGAGGGTTTTGTGGAACAGATGTTCCCTCATCATTGCGGGGTAACACTTGCCGGGCAGCGAGGAGCCAACCGAAGGTTGGCGACGAACGGCATGGCAAGCCGACGTATCCTTTGCAGTGTGCCAGAAGAGAGTCGGGGAGTGTGCCGGAACGGCGCGCTACGGATCATTTCCTCTGGATGTTAAGCGACACAATGGCAGCGCGCTCGTCTCGGAGATTCTTCCCAGAGCGGCAAATGCCATGCCCCCTGCGCCACACTTCGTCATTTACGGTGATGTCCCTGTTTCGGGGCAAACCGGACCTCCTCCCGTCACCCAAATCACGGCGAGCCCATTCCAACTCCCCATATCTTCAAAAAGTTTCTGACTTGTAATTTTAGGGATATAATGTCTTGTCTGTTTCCCGTTCATCACTTACCGTAATGCGTCTGACGAACGCCATACCCTTCCTCCTGACGAGGGGAGCATTCGATTATATAAGGTATAACATAGCTGTACTTATACCAAGGCGCAAGTGCTGGCTTACACGTCGAAAGGCAGATGAATGGACCCAACGCACTTCTGTAAAATCTCAGTAGGCAGCAGCAGGGATCAAGCTCGTCGTCTCATTATTCGGAGCAACAGATGCCCCAACTTCGGGAGGTTTTGATCCTGTTGCCACTGCGAATTCAGTGGCTGCTTGGGTCAAGAAATATAATCTTGATGGTGTCGATATCGATTACGAGGTGGGTACCAGCACAAGTATCAATCGCTATAAACTGGATCTCTGATTCAGCAATTGCCTCTGTAACACGAATACTAGGACTTCGGTGCGGTAAATGCTGGGGACGGAGAAGCAGAGGTCAAAACAACTGGCTATCAAGACTTGATAGGAGTGATTAACCAGGTCATGTAGGCTTGGCTCGCCTCATTTACCAAGCAGATGCGCGTCCAGCTTCCTCAAGAGACCTGCCTCCTGACTCATGCTCGTAAGTGTGATTATCCGACAGCTGGCTCCTAATTCTAATCACATAGGGACCCGCAATAGCGGTAGCACCTTGGTGCGTATTTTGGGTTAAATAAAAACGCCTACTTGATTCAGACGTCTCGTTCAGGTTCTCGCCAAACAAATTTAGAGGCGGTGCATATCTCAAGGTCCACTCTACTGTCGAAAATTTGATCGACTGGTACAATGTTCAATTCTACAACCGTGAGCGTTACCTTGATCATTTTAAATTCGCCTTTGACGCATGGGCCAGAGGGGAGGAGTGAATATACGACCTGCAATGGACTTCTTACCACGTCATCCAGCACCTGGCCACAATCCACCCTCTTCCAGATCGCGGAAAGTGGAATACCGCTCTCCAAACTGGTGATCGGGAAACCTGCAACGGCTGGAGATGCGAGCAATGGATTCATGTCTACCTCGGACCTGGCATCATGCATTGCGCAGGCGAAGGCAAAAGGATGGAGTAAGTTGGTTATTATTCCTAAAAAAGGAAGTGTGGCGCTCACTACAGGGTTTGCACCATGCAGATGCCGGCGTGATGGTGTGGGAGGTAGGGCCACTTTAATTGATCATAATTAAGTTATTTACGCTAATGGTAATACTGTCCAGTTCCCGAGCGCTGCCGCTTGTGCGTGCGCAGTCCTTCCCTATATAAAAGGTCCGTCCAGGAATGAAGAACGGAGCGAATGTCTATAGTAAAGTGTCATAATCTGGCGGTCCATGCAGTAAGTAATAGGGAAAAAATCAAAATAGTCTATGAGAGAGTCAAAAAGCGAGTGTCCCGAAAGAAGGTACGAAGCAATTGCAGTGATGTAGGTTTCTCGCAAGTGTTTTCAAGTTGACACTGGGCCTGAAAAGAGGAAGAGGTCCTGGTGAAACTTGTGAGCAACTAATTGACCAAGTGTATTGGGGAACTCACGACAGCAGACGCTGGGAATGGGTTGTTCGTATTGTAAGCCTCGAGACTGCCCGTAAAGAAGAGGACATTCTGAATTTTATACAAAGTTTGACCATCAACGAGTTCACTAGGAGAGAGTATGAACATACGTTGCGAATATCATATGCCAGGATGGTAGGAGGTTTAGAGCCATCACTATTAATCCATTGGGCTTGGGATTGAAAAGGTGCGTCAACTGGAATCCGCTGGAAAGGAGAAAAGTTACCTTCGAGTTTATTCGTGCTCGGGTCAATTGTCCAGATCGCAGACTCTACATACGCATCTCTAGCAGCCGGTTTCACCGGACCTGAACCAGGTGGTGCTGATAAAGGTGACATTAGCACTTTGGACGACGTGTGCTAAATGCAATTAGACTTACTGGATTCGACGTTGGTGAAGCTGACAGGACTGTTAACAAAAATTAAACTCAGTAATCAGCAACAAGAAAGGATGTATGAGCAGACAAGACATACTCTCGAGTTGAAGGACTGAGCGTTGGGATTATAATCGTGGAGAAGGTTCCAGCGCCAACATAGAATGGAGCAGGGAATGCAGGATTCTGATATCAAAATTTAGGAATGCGTGTGATATTTGCTTGAAGAGGACTTCCGTACCGTGGCGAAGATGTTAAGTTGGGTAGGGTTTGACAGGCTGTACGAGAGCGTGACGAGGAGGTCGCTGTCAGGGCCAAGGAAGTTGACACCGCCGCTTTGTATTGCAAGAGTGGATCAGCACAAAATGCAGAGCAAAGAGAGAGACTCACATCGTTCCTCCACCCTCCCAATTCCTGACTTGGCCCAACACATGTCCCTCTTTTGTTCGCACTTGAAGGCGACCAGATAGGCTTGGGAACTATAAGTGTCGCGTTCATCGAAGGTAGCACCGCACAACTTACGTGACGGGCGGGAGAGGGGACGTCGAAGCACCCCTAGAGCCTGCCAGTCGAGTTCGTCACTCAGAGGAAAGGACAAAGCCATTGTGGTCCACCAACAAAACACGCACTTAGGACTGGTGTACCACTCCGAAGGAATTTTGGATGGTTCGGTGGCAGACCTCTCGCAAGCCTCTCCGCGTTTGTTTCCTGACCGACAGGCGACGCGCTGGCGAGCCCAAAGAGGAGTCCGATTGTCAAGAGCAAGGTCAACCTGAGGAACATGGCGCTGGCGTTGACGTTAATGGGGTCTACTAGGAGACAGACGGAGAGGGCTCTGCGGTGACAAGAGGCGAAAACCTCGTCTGTTGACAGGGCCGCCTTTTTATTCGGATGATAGGCATCGTCATTGAGGTACACATCAGTGGCAGAGGGAAGCCGGCGTGCGACACGACATTCGGCGATCGAATGGCAATTTGAAAGGCCATGGACAGGTTCCTAGTCATCGATAATTCCTTTTTCCGATCGTAGGCGGAGGTAAAGAGGAAAGAAGTCTTTGTACTTGTTCTTCTAGCCTCGCTTTCAGAGGACAAGGAGGTTCTGTAAGAACATCGGTCAACCTAGGGCGTTCTGATAGGACGGCTGAGAACGCGCACCTAGGGCTGTCCAGCGTCTCGAATGGTTGGCCAGAACAGGGGATCCCATTGCGTTATTCACTCGCAAAGAAACGTGGACGGCCGTCGACTGCCGCAGAGATGAGTGTCAGTCGAAAGAGTCTACCCCCTAACTTGAAGTCGCGTTTCGAATCTTTGTGTTCATGGTGTAGAACCAAGTTATAAATAGCCTACGATGGCCGCATTGCTGCCGACCCTATACCTCACTTTACCCAGGCACTCTACCAATGTCAATTGTTATCTTTATTCCAATGCCACAGATGCTACGTGTGTGTATGTATGCAAATCCTGGTAAGTACCATCGAACAGAGAGAGGCATGGAGGTATGAATCAAAAAGAAAGGACAGGAAATTGGGACAGACGGCATGCAGCGCACAGACAACGCTTAGTGTATGTATGGAGTACGATACCCGTCATGAATGCATGAGCAAATGGTGGCAGAATTAGAAATACAGTACGATTATATTTGAGTATGGGAGGCTTGGAGGATTGGAGGCTTGGAAGGTGGTGGCTTGGTCATCATGGGGCAGTGTCATTTGTGTGAGGAAGGAGAGGGAGAGAGGAGATTCCAGAAGACGGAGAATGGACCGGGAAAGAGAGAGACAGGAGATGGAGGAAAGCAGAACACAAGAAAAGAAACGACAGAAGAAAAATAAAGGAGATAAGATATAAGAAAGGCGGACGTGGCAGTCCAATAAGTCAAAACGAAAAGGAGTGGTTGGCCCATGGGCCAAGGCGAAACGAAAGGAAGGAAGTGGCAATTGCGATAGAGGGTCGATCGATGCGAGGATTCATAAAGAGACAGAACCAAACCATCATCATCGTATCATCATCATCATCGTCATCTCATCATTGAACCGTACAGTTCCCTGACGACGTCCCGCGCTTCTTCTGTCTCCGTGCATCCGCAGAAGGCATCGCCAGCGCACCAGGGAACTCCCCTCCTGCCTCATAATCCGCCTCCGACCGGGCCCCAGCCTCCGACCTAGCGCCGCCCTTACCCGCCTTGCTATGGTCAGGAATCGCACTCGTCGAGAACGGCCGCCGACCATCGTTGCTCGAGAGCTGCGAGCGCCGCGTCCCAGTGCCGGTGTTCTGCCGGCTCGAAAAGCTCTCAGCCGCCGTCGCCGCGCTGCGCAGGCTGCTCAGTCCTGTCGACGTGCTCGTCACCGACAGCGGTCGCTCCACGTGTTTCTGTGCGTGCTGGGCAAGGGGTGGGGGCCGCTTCTTCGGCGTCTTCTCCTCTGCGTCCTTGTTGTGGGTGTGGGCGGAAGGCGAGGAGGGGGCAGCGGCGGGCTCTGGGGAGAGGTTCGAGCGCGACCGCTTGAACGCGGCCATGAACTTGAACGCTGTTGGTGGGTGTTCAACTGGCGTCAGTGCGTTCGTCGGCGAGCGGGGCACGTCGATGCTCGTCCGTGGTGTGTTGTGCTCGACAAAGGGCACGTCGGACATGGCGACGTTCTGGCTCGTCTCGGAGTTCTCGGCGGGGTTGGAGTATGCGCTCAAGGGGTTGCCCTTCTCCGCATATTGGGCGTAGAGGAGGAGCTGGGATCTCAGGTCGCAGGTCGGTGGTGCGTTCGGCGCACATTTGGAGTGTGAGATGAGGCTGCATTGTGAACAGAGGACGGCGCTTTTTTTGACGTTCAGAAGGCAGACGCGGCAGACCATCGCTGGAGAGGAGGATCAGACCACCTGTTCAGTTAGACAGAAATTTAGCTCACGTTTACTAAAAGTAGTCTTGACAAAGGAATGTTCGCGAGGCGAGAAGTCATTGTCACCTCCACCTCCAGGTCGCATCGAAGAGGAAGATGCCCTACGAGGGTTAGGAGACGGCTTGCCAACATCATCGTGCTTGCCAGGCGAGGCAGAAACCGGGCTTTCGGGTATCTCCAGTTGTGAAAGCAGCCGGAGGGCATCTACTTTCTGAAGGTCGGTGCTGACACGTCGAAGGAAGGGGATACTATCCTGAGGACGAAGTTCCTGTATGAAAGAAGTTAGGGCCTAGCAGTTATAAGAGAGAGCTTGCACGTACCTTCATCGCAACCCAATTCTTCTTCAGCCACGGATGTTCACAAAGCATCTCTGCACTTGGACGCTGTGTTGGATCCTTATCAAAACACTGTTCCAAAAACTCTTTCAGCAGCTCCGAGCACCCATCTGGCAGAGGCGGCATTGGGTCTTCGACAATCCGGAACATGACTGCAACAATGAAAAAGCTAAGCACACCCTAACCCACAAAAATGAACATAGGAATGAAAGCCTGACCTGACATGCTGTTGGCGATCTCGGCATACGGTGGGCGGCCAGTGAGCAGCTCGATGACGGTGCAGCCAAGGGACCAGATATCCGACTTTGTCGAAGCTCCTTTGAGCTCGATGACCTCGGGTGCCATCCAGTTGGGAGTGCCGGCGACGTCCTTGATTTCCCGCTCCATGGCGCGCAGGTTGAGCGAGACGCCAAAGTCGGACAGTTTGACGTTGCCGTTCTTCGTGGTCAGGATGTTCGCAGCCTTGAGGTCGCAGTGCACGACGTCGGAGGTGTGCAGGTAGTGCAGGCCCTCGAGGATCTTGACGACATAACCTGCGACGAGACGCTCGTTGAGGGGCCCAAAGGACTTGATGGTCTGACCGAGAGATCCGTTCTCTGCATACCTGGGGTCAAGCAGAGTCAGCATTTCCGGTCAAGCATTCAAATGGAATAACGAAAGCTCACTCGAGGATAATATTGAGAGTGTCGTCATCTCTGACCATGCCTTCATACTTGACGATACTAGGATGGGACAAGCTCTTGACGAGATCGACCTCGCGCATCAACGTCGTCACCTCTTCCTCCTTGAGCCCTTCGAGCCTGATACGCTTCACGGCAACCATCTGGCCGGTGTTGAGGTTCAGGGCACGGTATACCGAGCCAAACTGGCCACGTCCGATGCAGTTGCCCAGTTGCTAAGAAGCGGCAGCAGCGCACAATGAAACCCAATACGAAAGGGGTCAGTCAGCAGGAGGGCCTCACAAAGTCCATAAGGGGAGATGAAGAAGAAAGAGAGGACTCACGAAGTGCGTCGGCGGCTTCCCGTCCTCCCGCACGACCAGCCGGGTCTTGACTGCACTACCATCCATCGAATCGCGCGACATGAGGTCGCTGGCA